TTGTGCCACCTTCCATTCGGATGCTCCCGCGTGCACCGCCTGTCTGGCACGGAATCTAGGTATGCCTTGATTGCTTATCTTGTGCACTGTATATTGCTAGAGCCTTGCCCCAGCTAACCCTCGTACCCAAGGCTCTTGGCTCCTGGCTCCGTCCCTACTGCAGTGCAGTCCGCATCCATATCCACAGTCGTTCTTTCCCAATACACAAAGACCCTCGAGACCCCCTCTCTCGGCCTTCCATGAGCCACCCGTCACCCATACAGCAACCACGCTACGACCACCACCTCGGGTCGACTCCTGATGTTCCATAGCAGCACTCAGGCCCCCGTCCATCTGCCTGCAGAGCCCGCGCCTGGCGACGAGGCACAGCTCCCGCGCGGAGAATGCGGCTTCATCATCCCACCGTCTGAGGGCAATGGCGCCCGCCAGCGTTGCCCTTGCCGTAGCTTCTATCCAGATTCCCTCATCCGCTCTCGCTGTGGGTGCGGACACCAGGCCTGGAACCATGAGGCTCAGCCAATCTCGACCGTGTCAATGGAGGCATACCTGCATGCCGTAGAACAAATGAAGCGACTGAAGCAAGAGGTGCAGCGTTTCGAGACGCTCGAGCAACATTTAAAGCAGGAGCTGTTCAGAGAGCGTCTGGCTCGAGAAGAGCTGGTACGGACAAACCATGCAGTACAAGCGCGCATGTACGAGAACATGCAACTTCTCAAACTCTCCATCGACGACAGGGTCGAGGCCGTGGTAGACAGAACAACGGAGCTCAGCGACCAGATCAAGGTGCAGGGCGAGCGCCTGACCATGGTCGACGAATTCAGCATGGATTTGGAGAACCGGGTCGACCGAGTGGAGCAGTTTAGTGGTATGTCGCGAGACGTAACACCCGCTGCTTCCACGCCAAAAGCACATCTGTCAACCCCAAAGGCCTCTCCTGCCCCACCAATGCCGCTCATGATGCAGTCACAGCATACTCTTGGTCAACTTCCGATCCGAACTGATAAGAAATACCCTCTGTCGTGGAGTGTTCGCGTTGTTTTCATTCCGCGCAAGTCGCAAAGGTTCGCATACGATCCTGACAGCAATGGCTACCGGCGATGTGCCTCACGCAAGCTGTTGCAAAACCTCGAGTTCCCCAGCCAGGACAGCTCCTGTTTTGCGAATGGCATCGAGACTGCCTTCAAGGGTGTCTTCCGCGGTAGACCCTGGATGCCCATGACCGGCCATCGCCCAGCTGACGAACCTTTCGGTCGCATGGCGCTGACGCTTCTACCACCCGATCTCGTTCACCGCGGCGTATGGGACTATCCTTTCCTAGAAGATCACTGTATTGCGCACGACAAGATGCAGGGAGACATTCTCTACATCACCCTGCAGTATGAAGACGTCACCTGGAACGAGATTCGATTTCTACCCCCAGTTACTGGTGTCGACGAGACTTGCTGGGAACACGACGATGAACTCGACGGTACTGCTAAATACAAGAGCTTGGACTCAGAGATTATGTACGATTACCAGGATCCTCCTCCTACTTATTCATCTCGAACTCACTCGATGGCGACTAGGGCGCCCTCGGGACTGGACGTCCTTGCCAACTCCGCTGCTATGCTGAGTCCGATCGAGCGCGCTCAAACGGCATCATCTGTTCATTCCTCCAGACTGAGTCCTCTTAGTCCTCTGCAGCGCGCGCCAACCCAGTCATCGAGCCATTCTAGCCACCCACGTTTCTCTTCCGAGCGTAGCAGCCTTCGCAGCTTCGATACGGAAACCACTGATGATGAGCATCGTGACAAGAAACCCAAGCTACGGTCGAAGCAAAGCATGCCCAACGTGAATGGCAACGGTCATGCACAGCAGCCAATGTATGTCTCGGGCCGGTCCAAGCGTAAGATGCCAGTGAGGGAAAAGGGCCCCAAGGAGCCCCTACACTTCAACGTTGCTGGTGTTGCAAAGGGCGGACTCAATTTTCTGCATCCTCGTTCTTCCAAGGGGAAAGAAGCGGCCCACAATCCATGAGGCAATAACGTTCGGTTTCATATTTCCCATATGTACAAGGTTTCTTATTCATACTTGGTACAGGCGTTCACGAGTAAAACCTCGCTTCTTTCTTTCTTTTACCCAGGATACCCATTGGCGTTGTATAGTGCGATTGGATGCGTCAGCTTCACAGCGCAAATTTCTCAAGTGCGTTCTAGGTCTAACGTTCGTCCCATGTTACCAACAGCCACAAGACGTAGTTAAGAATCTCGGGTTACGCAATTTCTCTTCTCGACCATAGACGATTCCGAAGATAAAATGCTAGCTCCCATGTCAAAAATATGCAATCTTTTAGTAACCCGAGCAACGAAAGCAATAACCTTTCCCCTACTGGGATGACGCTTACTAGCCTCTGTTTCCGGAAAATCGTCGTGCGCTCAGACGCAAGAAGTCTGTTAAAAGAGATGCTTGGTTGTGAGTACTCCGATACCGTATCGCTTCGTACCACCCGGCATTGATAACCCCCATTCGGTATCCACCAGCCAAGACGGCGTGCAGGGAAAAACATGTAACGCAGGGCCTTGAAGAGTAATATGCGTGTCCGACTTATTACTGCTTAGCTTTGAGCTTGATACATCCGGAAAGTACCATTGTTAATTAATGGCGAAGAAACACCACAACTATAACGCCATGATTGTCGAATTCGGGGCATCTATAATTGCCGCTCAATGCACGAAAGCATGACAGACTTATATGTGACCAGCGACCTGCCAAAATGCCAAATCGGTTGAGTTTTGCGCCCTATACCCTCAAGGATGTCTTCGACCTTACATGGCGACTTACAGTCGATTACTTGTAGGTAGATTCTTTTTCCATCTTGTATAATGAGCTCAATGCTTGGTGCCACAGAGGCAGCAATATGACTTTCATCTATCCGAATTCTTTCGTTCCGCTTGTCGTAATTGAATCCGGCAATACCAATGAGCGCTCCTACATGCTCCCAGACCGCAACAGTTTTACGAAGCCGCTTAAGATAAGCCATAAAAGCGAAGCATTACGTACGGTTCATAATCGAAGGTCATTAGAACAAAGAGTATCCTGTCAAGTAAATTTGCCTCGACTGACTCGGGCTCTGGCTTTTCAGAAGCGCTTGCTGTCACCCCAAACAATATAACTTCCTGATGCAGAACTTCTTTTGTGTGAAATTAAGTGCGACAGGAATTTGTGGATACGAGATCAGCAGTTGAGCTTCTATCACGGCTTCACTAAGAGTAGGTGGTCTGGAAACAACTCCGATAGACATGCCGTTCTTGCCTGTATCATAGTAGATGGAAAGGGTAGTGGCCAAAACAGGCACAAGATGATAGACTCTCACGCTACGCTTAATCTCACATTCTAGACAGATGCTCTGTCTGCTTATGGGTGAGTGATTAAGCGAATACAGCTCGCACGGAATAGCTCATACTACGCTGGACTATGAAGACACAAAACACCGATGGATTTATCTTAATACTTCAAGAGCCTAAACACAGCAAAGATTCCTGTGTGCCAACATTCTAGGTAGTCCAGGGTAGCAAGAAGTGATAGCATGAAATGATACTCTGGCATAGGAGGAAATGCAAGAAAGGCCCAAATCTTTCAATCTTGGTTCTACTAGGGGAGCTGGACCCGGTTAAGGAGGTTGTCGTGGAAGTTTTGGTAGTCCGTGCCGGACATACGAAACCCCACCTCATTCCTACAAATGAGGAGAGTTCGACTTCAACTATGAGAGACACCATGCAAGACAGTGGTTGTGCGGTCTTTGTTTTTAACGATCAGGAAGCACCGTGCCTAAATACTACAATCGACCAGATCATTGGATTGGAGCTTCACAAATCCAATCTCCATGTTCGTAGTGACACTATCTTTCCATATCTCCGCTTAATCAAAGATTTTATGATTGAGAACGATCGTTGTACTGTGAACCAAATTCCAGCGTTGGAAAGGATCGGTATTGGTTTCTGCAGCTCCGGCACGAGGGCTATATGATTGTTGTCAGAGACCAGTACGGTCAGACTGACTTGAAGTCACCGAGGTATTCAGCGTTCAAAATTTCATGTTTCGTGTGGTTCCGTAGAAGAATCGTGCACTTGGGTTATCTTTGATGCTCGTTCTCTGACAGTGCCGGATACGATAGGGGTATTGCCGACACTACAGTCAACAAAATTCCTCTGGGTTACTCAGGTAGTAATTACTACATGAGAGAGACGAGCTTCTTCGTACCTAGGTATGCATGGCAGTGGATCAGGCAATCCGCCCCTGATTAGGTCGTTACCAAGTGCGGGGGACTTCCCCCGAACTTCACTCCACTTTCCCTACCCACGCGCAGAAACTTTCCAAGTTTTCTAGCATCGCGATTAATGCTACTTGTACAGAAAAACTAGATGGTAGAAGCTCACCGATAAATTATCGCAGGTTTGATGTCAACTGCCATCTTCACGGATCCTTCCGATATCGCATGGCGACGGGCCTTTTCTTATCATGTCGTATCTCGGATGAACCCCTCCAATCCTCCAATCCTCCAATCCTCCATGCCGATCCCTCTTTTGGGGTCGCTGCCGAACCACTAAAGACCCCAGCTTCTGCGCGCGACACGAGGCGACATAATCGGTATTGGTCAGAAAGAGCAGGGAGTTTATCAGAAGGACCATGCGCAACGTGAGATAGACAGCGGAGGATGTTACCTTGCACTCGCTACCGCCATGTAACGCCTGGGATATCCGGCTGCGTTAGCGTGTAGCCTGAGGTTGCACGTAACTCCACGGGATGAATGCAGTTTCTATTGGTTTTATAATCGCAGTTACTAGCTCATGGTGATCGTACATAAGACAGAGCAAGCAATCGGATTCTTCGACGTCGAGTCGCATCGCACCTTCTTCCACGACCTTCCTAGAAGCGCATACAGATTGCGTCGCTCCCGAGTTCGACATCTCATCTAGGTTCTTCAATATCTGAACGCGTTCTCGACATCTCGAATTATCAATATGTCGACGAACAAAGATCCTGAGCTCGCGAAAGACGGCCTCGAAGTCACGGCCTCCCTATCCTCGTCCAAAGATGCCAACGCACCTGTACCAGTCGAAGGAACGACCGAGCATCTGCCTACATACGAGCACGAGAAGGCTCTGACGTGGAAGTTTGATCTCAGGATTCTGCCCATGCTGGCTGTCATGTATCTCTTCAACGCGCTCGACAAGGGCAATCTGGGCAACGCAAAGACGGACGGCATGGACAAAGATCTTGGTTTCGTGGGCAACCAATACAACATCATGCTGAGTATCTTCTACGTACCATATGTCATCTTTGCGCCACCGATTGGTATGCTGGGAAAGAAATACGGGCCGCATCGTGTGCTGCCGATCATGATGTTCTGCTTCGGTAGTGCGACGCTGCTCGCTGCTAGCGTGCAGAATTGGAGTGGTATGATGGCTCTACGATGGTTTTTGGGTGAGTATTCGATTTGAAAGTGTGCATGGATGTACAACTAACGTTACACAGGTATGGCTGAGTCTGCATTCTTCCCATTGGTCATCTACTACTTGACCACCTTCTACCGTCGAGGAGAGCTTGCCAGACGACTGGCATTATTCTATGCCGCTTCCAATATTGCAAACGCATTCAGTGGACTGCTCGCTTTCGGTGTATTCCAGATCGAGTCAAAGCTTGACTCGTGGCGTTACCTGTTTATTATTGAGGGAGCACTCACAGTCTGCTTCTCCTTCTTCGCCTACTGGTACCTCCCCAAGAACGCCTTCGAAGCCAAATTCCTCAATGAGTCAGAGAAGCAACTCGCATACACGCGTATCCAGATCGACTCTTCATCGGTCGTTGACCAAAAGTTTAATCTAAAAGACGCTCTTGGTATTTTCAAAGAGGCATCAACCTATGGCTTCCTAGCCATTGAAATTTGTCTCGGTGTACCGCTGCAGTCCGTATCGCTATTTCTGCCACAGATTGTCGCGCGACTAGGATACGATCACATCAAGACGAACCTTTATACTGTAGCGCCCAACATCGTTGGAGCAATTGTTCTTCTCATCTTGGCTTTTGCCTCGGACTTTACTCGTCTCCGCTTCCCGTTCATCGCTCTCGGCTTTCTGCTCACATTCATCGGCTTCATCATCTACGCCACCATTGACGTAGAACAATCCCTTACCGTTGCCTACTTCGCCTGCTTCATGATGACATGGGGTACATCTGCACCTTCCGTTCTCCTCTCCACATGGTACAACAACAACGTCGCCGACGAGAACCGGCGTGTAACCCTTACCTCGGTTGGTGTGCCGCTGGCAAACTTGATGGGTGTCGTTAGTTCGAACATCTTCAGGCCACAGGATGCGCCAGAGTACATCCCTGCGCTGGCGACTACTGCAGCTTTCGGAGCGACTGGATGTTTGTGTGCAGCGCTGCTGGGTGCCTACATGGTTGTAGACAATAAGAGGAGGAACGCGAAACAGGGCGTCAACCACACTGCTAGGGATGTTTCAACCGAGAAACTGAGAGATGGACCCAAGAACCCAGACTTTAGGTGGTTCTTGTAATTTGGATTGGAGAGTCTCGTCGCACCCGATATGTCGTTATTTTAGTTCAAAAGTACTTTGCCATTTCAGGTACAGAGCGCGAACTATCGCATAGACCTAGATACCCATTGAATCTCATAGTTATGTCTTCAAAAAGGAACACAGGCGATGTGCACTGATCCGATTGCGGAAATGCTCCTTAGGCACCGTGACTGACTAGGTCACGCGTCCCCATCACCCGAACGGGCAGTGAGACAGTTTGGAATAGCGACGGCGATTCCGACAGGCTAGGCATGCTTTCCGTTGCAAGAACAACAGACGTGTCGGACTACAGGTAGAGTATGCGCGAGGAGTATTGAATGAATGAATAGAAGCAAGAGTGAATAGAAGCTGGGGAACAGAGACGCAGCTGCAAGGATGCTTCTATTGCAGAGACGGTCGGGAACGCAGCCGGACGTTAGCGCCATCTCTTATCGCCGAGGCGCATCAGTCGTCACGCAGCCTCACGCGCCTCACTCGGCCATCAACCGTCACGGGTCGCAGCTCAGAGCTGCCTAGTACCTTGCCGTCGCTGCCTCGATCTCGACTCTGTTATCCCTCCACCTCATCCCCCCCGCATTCCATCTGGACATAGCTTGCGTTCTTGTCCACAACCCATCACTTTGCGATACCGCGTCCGATAAGCGTTGCTGAGCTCCGGAAGCTCGACTCATCTCCATCATGGCGGTCAAAGCTGCAGTGCCCTTCTTGGTGGCTATGATGCTGTTGACGGGTGTGTGTAACACACTGCTAACCAAGTACCAAGTACGTAAAGCCCTCCGTGCAGCTCCCCTGCAGCCAAATGCTGACTGCGCGCAACTAGGACATGCAATGCGTCAACAACTGCGACTCCCCTTCGCCGAAACATCGCGACCATTTCGAACAACCTGTCCTGCAGACCCTTCAGATGTTTATGGGTGAAATGGGTTGCTGGCTGGTGATTGGTGTCTTCCAACTCTACCAGCGGTATGCCAGCGCAAAGGCTGGCTACGAGGCCATTCCAGATAATGAAGGGTCAGATGACAGTGAAACGGGTGCTGTCGCCAACCCATTGAGGCCCGCACATCCCGATGACGAGGGCAGAATACCGCTCGAGGGACGCAGCATCTTCTTGTTGGCGCTTCCGGCCTGCTGCGATATTGCCGGAACCACGCTCATGAACGTTGGCCTGCTGTTTGTCGCTGCTAGTATCTATCAGATGACCAGAGGCGCATTGGTCCTTTTTGTCGGTTTGTTCAGCGTGTGGTTCCTCAAGCGCCATCTTGGTCTCTACAAGTGGTTCTCGCTCTTTGTTGTCGTAGCTGGTGTCGCTGTTGTCGGACTCGCAGGTGCTATCACCAAAGATGACAAAGCATCGCCCGGTCATCAATCGATTCATGATGAGGCAACCGGCTCGGTTGGTGTCGACGCGGCGACTTCGCAGGCCGCCATGACCATTATCGGTGTCCTGCTTATTGCTGGTGCGCAAATCTTCACTGCGACACAGTTCGTGCTTGAAGAGAGGATCATGGAGAAGTATGCTATGGAGCCAATCAAGGTTGTAGGCTGGGAGGGTATTTTTGGCTTCTTGGTTACGCTCATTGGCATGATCATCCTACATTTCGCCATCGGAACTGGATACTTCAACGCCAGAGAGGGACTGTACCAGATGACGCACTACCGTGCCATCGCAGTGTCCTCGCTGTTGATCATGGTCAGCATTGGGTATGTCTTCTTCCATTCATATCCTCAATCCTCGCTAACATGTTGCAGTGGCTTCAACTTCTTCGGTCTATCCGTAACTCGGACCGTCTCCGCTACTTCGCGCTCCACGATTGATACTTGCCGCACACTCTTTATCTGGATCGTGTCGCTTGGCCTTGGCTGGGAGACGTTCAAGTGGCTTCAGGTTGCGGGTTTCGCTCTGCTAGTGTACGGTACCTTCTTGTTCAATGACCTCATTCGTCCGCCGATCAAGGCATGTGTGGAAAGGAAGAACGAGCCCCTGCTACCTGAGGGCCCCATCGAGCATCTCTAGCATGTGAAGGGAGGAGATGATGGCGCGGCGGCGCTTTGGGAATACTGAGACTGGGCTTGGCATTGACCGGCGTTTGGGAAACTCTTGCATGCAGTTACCGAATATTATATTTTGTACCAGGTGAAATTATTATGTGTACTGCTTGACGCTTTCATGATTGGGGGACCAGATGCGGCCATCTATGAGCCTCTTCGTATGATGAATGGGTGTGGTCCGAGCTTTAGCGCCCACTTGCTTCGCTTAGCATTTTGGTCGCTCTCTCACGGAAATCAACTACGACTTCAATAACAACGGCTCGACTTTTCTGAACACCCACGCCCGGAGTTCAGATACGCCCTTCCACAGTTCGACAAAATGGCCACCACTCAAACCGCAATGTGAGTTTACCTGCACGCCATCGCATGGCAAAGACGCGCAACTGGGAATGAGTACTGACGGCCTGCAGCTCCAAGAGGAGAAAGTTCGTTGCTGGTACGATATACCCCCCCTACAAGTAGAAGACGGAGCATGCAAGAGATGGGCATCTTGGGTCATTGCAGCGTGGCATAGAACCCACGAGGCTCAAGATGTCGAATGCGAGATATGAGGGGCATTGCGCACACAGACAGACCGGTCGCTAACATCACCTCCTACAGACGGTGTCTTCTACGCCGAGCTGAACGAGTTCTTCCAGCGCGAGCTGGCCGAGGAGGGCTACTCCGGCGTCGAGGTCCGCGTCACCCCCACTGTCACCGACATCATCATCCGCGCCACACACACCCAGGAGGTTCTTGGAGAGCAGGGTCGCCGCATCCGTGAGCTCACCTCGCTCATCCAGAAGCGATTCAAGTTCCCCGAGAACTCCGTCTCCCTCTACGCCGCCAAGGTTCAGAACCGTGGTCTCTCCGCCGTCGCCCAGTGCGAGTCCCTCCGATACAAGCTTCTCAATGGTCTGGCCGTCCGAAGGGCTTGCTACGGTGTCCTGAGGTTCATCATGGAGTCTGGCGCTAAGGGTTGCGAGGTTGTTGTTTCCGGAAAGCTCAGGGCCGCCCGTGCCAAGAGCATGAAGTTCACTGTAGGCATACGCACATGGGATGCAGTAGGAATTGGCATACTAACGTCATACAGGACGGTTTCATGATCCACTCCGGTCAGCCCGCCAAGGACTTCATTGACCACGCTACCCGCCACGTCCTGCTCCGCCAGGGTGTCCTCGGTATCAAGGTTAAGATCATGCGCGGCTCCGACCCCGAGGGCAAGGCCGGCCCATCCAAGACTCTGCCCGACTCCGTCACCATCATCGAGCCCAAGGAGGAGCAGCCCGTTGTCCAGCCCATGTCGCAAGACTACGGCGCCAAGGCCATCGCTGCTCAGCAAGCCGCAGAGCAGGCCAGGCAGGCCGAGCAGGGCGAGGGCGAGGCCCAGCCAGCTGGTGGTGAGGGTTACTCTGAGGAGCAGTAGGTTGATCATTTGCTGCGGGCGCAATGAGGTTACGAAAAGGCATTTAGCGGAAGGATATGATGCCATCACGAACCCTGACACATCTTCCTTTGCACATTCGGAATGGACTGGGCTGCTTTTTTGACTAGGGAGGGAAAGGAGTCTGCACTGCTTCACTGCTATGTACTCAATGAAACCACCCAAACATCAAAGATGGCTTGACCACCCGAAATGTGTTCTGACCATTGTCATTGCTTTTTAATACTTTTCACTTTCACGTGTTTTTTGTTCAACTCGTTCATATTGATACGTGGGTGAGTTGCGATCACACGCGAACACTTGGGAGTTTGTTTAATGTTTCTGATATAGCCTTGCTGATGTGCTAACGCGTGCAATATTTACAGTTTTGAAGCGACAGAGAATGGTCACTCAGATGCTGCCGAAAACGGCCAGACTACTCATGACCTTGCCGTCATCCCCAACCATGAGGTTCCACCCACAACTGCTACCCAGCCCCGGGTTCTCAATCCAAGCTGGCTCCCAGTAGAAAAGACCTGTACCCTTACCGTTTGGAACAGCAGCCACACGCTTCGCAACCTCCTTCATCCACTGCGTCTGGCCATCTACACTGATTGGAATGCTCTTCACATCCGCAGGGAAAGCAGTTGATGGGTTGGGGCAGTAACTCGGCCAATTCGTCTCAACAACCATGACCTCCTTGCCATACTTTTTCGCCATATTGTTCAAGCTTGTGCTGAGCGCAGATAGCGTGGCAGCGCTGTTGTAGAAGGGGTAGTAGGATACACCCTGGACATCATAGTCTGCGGCCGACAGCCCACCACCTGATCCTAGCACGAGGTCGTACCACCACTGCTGTGTCTCCCAGTTCCAGCCATTGTCTAGATGGATCATGATCTTGGGCTTGGGGCTCATGGAGGACTCTTTGATGGCTTTGGATGCTGATTTAAGTAGCGCGGCAACGTTCTTCGGTCCATCGGTGCCAGAGAGTTGGCCAATAGGGAACAAGAGGCCGGGTGTGATTTCATTGCCGATGCTAACGAGATTGAGGGCGATGCCGTTGGTGGAGAAGGTATTGATCACGTTCTTGGTGTAGTCGTATACCTGCTTGATGAGGGCCTCGCGATTTAGCGATTTCCACGCTGCTGGTACGACTTGTTTGCCTGGGTCGGCCCAGTTGTCGCTGTAGTGGAAGTCGAGGTAAATGCCTAAACCGGCCGCTTTCGCGCGTTTGGCAAGTTTGAGGTTGTAATCGAGGTTGTAGTTCCCATCTGAGGGGTTTACCCATATGCGTTGGCGAACAGTATTTACGCCGCTGTTTTTGAGAATGGTCTCAAAGGGCTGGACCGTACCAGCCGCGTTTTTGTACTTTTTGCCGGCTGCTTCCTCGATAAGAAGGGAAGACCAATCTGCGCCTTTGTAGGGCAGGGCGGCGAGTGCCGCACTGGCAAAGAGGAGAAGAGACGTAAACCGCATCGCGAACGAGGATGATCGATGCTGAAGATGGGATGCCTCTCAACCACCCAAGAACCAGCAGCTATATACCAGCACTCATCATATAACCCGTCACTGAAGAGCAACGTTTGAGAATGGCGGACAGACCTCTACATGCGGCAACACATCCCCTTCAATTTACACCGTCAGCCATTTGCATTTGAACGTGACACCGAATGATCAGTCTAGAAGAGTGAGAAATAGTACTTCCTCCAATAATAGCCGGTGCCGGTATACCAGGCGTAGTTTCGAAACATATGAAATGCCGAAGCGAGCTTTGCCGTGTGGGGCAATTGAACCGGGGTAATGACATAAAGCTCCGGGGAAATCTAACTAGAATTGCCGCAGAACACGTGGGAGTTGGTGCGGAAATGCGTAAACGGAGGAAATGAGTTCCGGATCAAGTAACTCAAGAGGAAATACAGGCTAGTAATTATGTGGTGTCTCGTTTGCGCAATGTACGTTGTGGTAAGAAAAAAAAAGAGAGCATGACAGCAAGGATCCCGGAAGAAGTGCAGAGATGGCCTGTGGGTGAAACAGTTGAGAGATATACAGGACATGAAAGGACGGTTAAGAGTATTATCTATACAGTAAACCTACAGGACAAGGTGAACAAAAGTGAGATGGTTGCTTTACTGATCGAAGTTCTTGATCTCGGGCATCATGCCCAGACCCTTGCCTTCCTGTTGTGTTTTACCCTCGCCCTCGATGACACCTCCTGCCTTACGCTCGTTGACATGCCTCCGGAGCAAGCTCAGAATTTCACTGCCCTTCCACCTGCTAGGCACAGGCCTATACGCAGGCTTGAAAGTGCCGACCGTCTGCGCCCATTCACCCTCTCCAGGTTGTCTCTTACGCTCGTCCTTCTCAGGCAACTTCGTCTGTGCCGTTGCATCCATGCCCTGTGCGTTGGCGGTAGACATTGCAGAGCCACCGCCCTCGGCTGTCTCGTGGGACGTGGGTGTGGGCTCTTGAGTTGCCCAGTAGTAAATGTCCCAGTCGTTTTCGTCGAGGAAAGTGTCGTACTGCTGCATCAATGAAGGAGACATGGTGCTTAGGTGGGCGTCGGCGAAGGTGCTGAGAAGGAGATCACTTTCTAGGGTTCCCCTCTTGCGGCTCTGATCTAATTACTCGTTAGCCATGCTTCGCCCAGGTACAGATGTTGTATATGCGGTGAGGAATAGGAGATGGGCAATGTATGAACGGACATAATAACCTCGCACGCATAGTGTTGGGGTCTTCTCCAGTCCTGCGAATAGGCTCGACCTTGAACTTGGCGCCTTCCATCTCGCCAACACCTAGTTCGCTGTTTGCCCCGCTGACGTCCTGGTCCTTGCTGCCCTGTGTTCCGCCCGTCATGCGCTTAGTGTTCTCAGGCACAGAGTCTTTAGGTGTGAATTTGCTGTCGGCATTGGTGATCAATTCGGGCGGGGCAGCGTCTTCGCCAATCGAAGGCATCTCATTGGCAATAGTAGAGGTGGTGTTGGTAAGGTGAGGGTTCAGCGGCCTCTCGATTTGGTATTTGCGGTACGTCTCGGAGGTGTCGTTGGTGCGCTTGTTGAGGGCTTCAAACTCATTGTGGCGGATAGTGGAAATGCTGAAAGTACGGCATTGGGTGCGCTGGAGGGAGAAGAGGGCGCGCGTCGAGCGAGCAACTAGTCTTGAAGATGCCATGGTGCAAACAGTCCGTCGTGAGGCCTCAATTGACGTTTAGACAGATTGTACAAGGTGGGCGATACCGAGGGCTGTGGAAAACGTCACCGGGCCAAAGCTCCTGGATTACTAAGCCGAAAATGAACCCTGTGATCGGCTCGTGAAGTCTATTACTCCTACACATCACCCAATAGTATTTCAGCCGTTCCATGTGTAAAATTTCGCACCATAATCGATGCAATTCAACACAACATGTGACATGCAAAGCTGCCATGTTGTCGCTCTACTTTTACATGATAGGCTCTCATAGCAATGCTTTCGCCGCTACTGTACAACGTCGCCAGAAGAAGCCAGTCGAGCTTGCATGTAGCGAGCTTTCGCTATACTACTCGGGTGTGAAATAATGTAGTGAGAGATTTTAGGACCGTGCTTTAGGCAGTGTATAGCCGCCCAGGTCGTTGAAGAACTTGCCGCCTCTCGTCATAATATCAAATATCTCCACTCCTAGCCAATCTTTCGTTGCGCTTGTTCTTGCCACTTCAATCTCTCTCACCAAGTTGCCTGCGACCTGGAAACTGATATCAGCACTACTTCTTCCAAAGGGCAACTTCCTACGACGTTGTTGTAGACTCACCATCATGCTATGGCCCTGTCTCTCAGGGTGCATACTTGTGGTCACAATAGCATTAGCTACATCTGCAGTTGTATTTGCTGGCAAACCATAGTCCTTCCACTTCTCTGAGTAACCTGAGGTAATGTGCGTAGGGGTGAAGAAGGGTGCTACGACATTGACTCGAATACTGAGCTGCTGGGCAACAGTCTGTGAGGCTCGCGCTAAACCTATTACGCCATGCTTGGAAGAGACATATGAGACTACGCCAGTTCCACCGAAGTACCCAGACGTTGAGGCTATGAGTACGATCGAGCCTCGTGCACCGTCCAAGTCTAGTGGGTTCGATTTCATCGAGTGCATAGCCATCCGGAGAGCTACTTAGTATCAGAGACAGGCCTGGAAGGAATGCGTGATTCAATGGCTTACTATTCATAGTGCCTTTCAGATTAACATCGATGATCTTGCCAGCTTCAACCGCCTCCATTAGTTCTCCTTGCTCGTCCTCTTCAAAGTCGAAGAAACCTTTGCTTTCCATCAGCCCTGCATTCGCAACGACGATATCCACTTGACCAAATGTCTTCTTTGTCTCCCGAAACAGGTTTTGCATGTCGCTCCAACTAACAATGTTAGTGGGGTGATAAATGGCTCGTGATGGTTCAGGTAGAGATGAGACAAGAGCATTGGCTGCCTTGCTGGAGGAAGCAAGATCGGCTACGACGATATTACAACCATGTTCATGGTAGGTACGAGCTGTTTTCGCACCGATGCCATTGGCGCTGCCTGTGATTATGACGGTTTTGGGCTTGCCATTAGGCAGGTAGTGGCACGAATTGGTACTAGACATGCTTCCTGGTCGTACTCAGGCTTTTGCTTCTGCTTTCAAATGAGTAATCGTATGTAAAAGAGGAGAAAAACTTTTGACAATTGGAGTCGATGGAGACGGTGCTCCGTGATGGTGCTCTGGATCAACTCCAAGTAGACTCTCCCAGGTTGCTGCTTACATGCTGCATCTACCTAGAAACCCAGTTGAGTGTTGTAAGCGGACATGCCAGTTTCGGGGAGAGAGGAGCCTCTCCGTAAAGTATGGTGATGATGGAGGGTGCCTGGGTATGTCTACCCCGCATGCCTGCTTTAGAGCGACGCGCGCCGAAGCTTGAAGACGCGTCGCAGCCGCGATCGGTCCTTGTACGTGCTTCACCATCCCGACAATCGGAAGACGCAATGCCGACAGTCAGCAGATGTCCCGAGAAGTGCGTTGTTGTGCCGCTACTCCAGACTCCTCCGTGATAGTAAGAGAGTCATTATGTCGACTAGTACGATCCCAATACCCCGCGACCCAACCGATGACGAGGCTCTTGCCCTGTTCAAGACGGTAGAGGAGAAGTTTCCTTCAAGGTCGCTTGGAGGTGACAAGTGGTATGTCCTTCTGGTATGGGATCATCCTCTTTACACATACAAGAGCAGTGATTAACTCTTTGTAGCTTGCGTCGATCGTTGGCGGCGGACAGCCCGGCTTCGCGCCCCTGCTCTACAAGGAGCTTATCAAGCGACCTGAATACCAGACACCCGAACACCGCCAGGCTTTGATGCGAAGAATACGCGAGACACTGTTCAAGCTCATCGTCATTGTGGGTGTGTGCAAGCCACTGGAAGCCATCTTCGACATCGATGCAATTACCAAGCCAGAGGACAAGGACTATACATTCTCAAGGTATAGGATCAGAAATCATCAGCACGCAAATGTGAAAACTGACAGCAGGGCAGAGAAGGATGGCAATGTGATGAGGCAAACTCAAAACGTGGTGCAGCATGGCAAGGTCGCTTGTACCAGCACAACCAAGAAGGCATCGATAATGTGTTAGCTTCACAGAAGGATTTTGGCATGTGAATGTCTAGTCATTCTGTAGTCTTATGCTGACGAAGCGTAGATTGGACGAGCAAGCAAATTACCTACGGACTCTATCTGTCCGATCACAGCATTCTCAATGACGTTGAGACCGAGCTCACTGTACTCAGCGGCATCATGATTCAGAATCTGCCTAGAGAAACCGCCTGGCATTTGCGCGGCACCAGGCGCATTGGCGTTAGCAGAGATGACGTTGAGACGATCCAACAATGCGTAAGACAGCAATTAATTCGTGCTTCATAGGCCATACTGACCCGGCACAGATCGAGCTTGTCGCCAATTTCTGTGGCTTACGACTGCACAAGGTACCAAGGGTCGCGGATATTGAGCATGAAGTCTAAGTCGACAGTCGAAGCAAACGAAACGTGCTATAACAGAGGAACAGAAGCTACTTCCCAGCCATCACTGGCCTGCCTAAACTTCCGATACCTGAGATTAAGCACTAATGCAATCTTCATTCGCGCAAGATAACGACTTTGTGGCAGCCAGACGCAGTGAATTGTTCTTTCCAAGAGAATTGTGCTTAGCCACGGCATACGAAAAACGTTCAGAGACGGTCAGGTGGAAAGGAAACAATAAGTACTGCTCTAATTCCATCGTGTTGTCAACCAATATGTCGATGTCTCTCCGAATTTCTTTACTCATCCTGATTTTGAAAACTTTGGGGAAGCAGTTGCGATAGCCTCTTTCTGATCTGTATCCTTTGTATATAGCTGTACCAGCGCGGCAAAGTCGTTGACTAGAGCTTATCTTATAACCTATACTTTCTGCATCACTTTCTCCTCTGAGAGTTTCATCTTCGCTGTTGCTGCTTCGCTAGCATTGATTGCCATGGTAGCTTAGTCTCACTTTGTTTGGTCGGTCATGCTGATGTGCTTTCACTACGAATGCAAGAGTAGAAGGTGCGCTCGATTCGAAAATGTGAAGAATTGGTATTTAGATCGGCTAATCGTGCCTAAAGACGCTCCTACATGAATCAAGGAACCCCTCTTTTGAGTCCGTCCCACCCAAGTCTAATATGACGATAAAACATGCTGAAGAGGTTTTCTATACAAGAACGTAATGATAAGACATGAGACGCCGATGGACGCCGACATGAGAGACCCGCCTGATACAAAATTGGCGTAGATGACGGCTATATGAGGATCGTGCATGGGATGGTTCCGAGATTGGTGAAGCAGGTTGAGATGCGCGTGCGCCGAACGTAGGTATCTTGGGTAAGGCCTAGAGACTCTCGCTTAATTCGAAGTTGCCCTACCACCCTTCGTCCTTCTGGTTCTTGCCCTTCCCTTTCTTGGCAGCGGCCTTTTCCTCTTCGGTCATCTCAATCAGCTCCGCACCTTCAAGCTTGAACCCCTTTGCATCCACGATGTGCTCACTCGCTGAGCCCAGGTACGCCTCGTGCAATCGCGGTAGGAAGTACTGCATGACGCTGTCCGCCAGGTTCTTAGCTACAAGGCCTTTGTCGACCCAGAAATGTCGTACAAACACGCCCTTGCAACCACCCCGGTTCGCAGCCTCGGGTGCGCCATTGGCTTCGACGCAAGGGAGAACACGGATATCGTCCGGTCGGTCGTAGTCATATCGAAGATAGTTTCCAAAGGCGGCTTGTTCGTGCGCCCAATCTGTCTTCCAATGCGCGCAGCCCTTGTACTTGGTCTCAGAAGGGCATTCCGCCCAGGCCTTGTACATCTCTTGTGTCCTCTTGCTCTGTCGTGCGATGACGAATCCGGTGTTGAGGTATCGGTTGCCCTTCGCATCGTAGTTCTGCGGCTCGTTCGGGTCGATAGACATCATGGCAAGGGTATCGTCGGTCATGTTCCAGTAGTTGAGCAGCCACTCGAGAGGCAGGTGAGGGTAGTGGAACATGACGTCTGAGTCCATGAAGACAATGTATTCATGGGTCTTGAGCGCTTCCTTCATCATTGGAACCTTGACCCATGTGCCCCACCGGTCGGCGTAATCGGGTGCGCGAATGAACTTGTAATCGTAACCGTGTATTTGTGCTGCTGCATGTTAGCCGAGTCGCTCCACATGCCAGAACTGTCGTTGGCGACCTGCCATGCGTCGTGGCAACGTACCGAACATGTAATGCCCCAGCATGCCCGCACTCAACGAGCGCATGCCCTTCCACTTCAAATGCGGGTCCATAAGCTGACCCTTATCCGTCAACGGTCGGCTATCAATGTCCAATATAAGCACCTTCTTGCCTAGCTTGCTCTTGAATTTTGGTTCCCCGGATAGTCTGTATATGTCTCCATCTTCGTCGGTAAAGTTGGCGGCGTCGATGGGGTGTAATATCGGACCGTAGAGAGCTTTTATTATTGTCGCCATCGAGACGTCATCTTTGGGTAGAGAGACATTTTGCGTGTGCGGGTACCTGTGGTGATTTTGTTAGGCACGCCTTTATGCGAGGGTAATTCAAACGTACTGTGACCGAAGGCTGCTCGGGACGTATGCAGAAGGATAGCTGAAGTAAACCAAAGCCAGCGCCATGGGTATCATAGCGGTCAATAAAACACGTCGCCATCGCCCTTGTGGCCCCATGTTGGCCAGCGATTGGTATGTGTAGTCGGCCATTGTCGCGGTTCACGCTCTGGGGTTCAGAAGCCTAGGATGACCCAAGTTCGCCTGCGCGTACGAGTCCAGAATCGCAGTCCTCGGTCTTCTGCATCCAAGTTCAGTCTTCTCCAGCGAGTCCCCCAGAAATCGTGAATCCCAACAACTGGAGCGTGCGTCGCAGAGTCTACCGCACAAAAACAAGGTGGCGTGAACAGAAGACGACAACGTATGCGAATAGCCAAAAAGCGCTGCGCCAGGTGCTAAAAAGGAGCAAGAAGAAAGGTAAGATGGCAAGTTAAGTGTCCCTCTCCCTCAAAGGAGGTGGCCGACGCCCCCAGTTTAGTGGCAGTTGTGTCAGACCCGAGTTGGTAGATCCTTGTTTCCATCCCTAAGCAATGCAGGGGCCATCACCGACTGCATACGGTTTAGCTGCCGCGCCGGAAGGGGCTGAAAGTCTGAAACGCGATCTGGGATGCGCAACCTGTGGCTGTGCCATGTCATCCAGCGATCCACATGGAATTGCGATGGACAAAAATTGGGATGCGAATGGCAAGAGCACTGGAAAACTGCACGCTCAACTGACCATCTGTTGAGTGTTGATTCGAGCTAGATTAGATCAGTCGACATCGCATGCGCCTTTGTGGTAGTCAGCTTATTAGCTACTTTGTACACGCAAGCCTCTCGTACTCGGCTATAGATGGCAGGATCGACGCTGAAGCGGCGGTGCGGAAACATCACCATCACTCGAAACACAAGAAAGGTGCATGCTTGAAAATGCCTTATCGTATCTTTCTTCGTCTCGTGTTGCCCGCTCTTGGCTCTTTACTAAATGAGTGATTAGTCGTCTCTTGATTGCGGAAACTTGGTCATGACATGTGTGTTGGGAGCAAGGCTCGAGAATCTGTGGTACTGTGTTACGTATGGCAGGGTAATGCAGGGTCTCATCCAAACTTGTGTTAGATTGTAATAACAGGGCCTGTATACCTTCAGAGTACTCTAGCGTCGCCGTCGCAATCTGTAGGGCGTCGCAAAGGTGTTCAAGCTGCACTCGGAAGGTTAGGCATCCAGCAAGCGCAATAGCTCGTAGTCTTTTGCGATACCAGGACTATTCCTCGCACAACTCTCGATAAGTGTCATCATGATGCTTACCCACTCGCGCCATCCCTCCGGCAGCGTTTCTCGCAACTTTGGGTCTGGCGACCGCGCTACGGCGTGAAACAATAGCACCTGTCCGAAGCACTGACAACACCATCCAAATTTTATTGGTAGAGCCGACAACATCTGGGTGCAAAGCCCCATGGTAGTCGGCCAGTACATGCCCCCTCGAAGGCCCTCGCGCACCTCGTCGTACTCTGCATCACTGGTGTATGCTGGCGCGTGCAGCGCTTTGTAGAGAAATGGGCGGCCGATGTGGAATTTTGCGACGAGGTAGCGGCTTCGTAGCATGGCTTTTGCGATAACATGTGCAGGGCTGGGAGAGTCACTGGCGTTGTCATTGTCCAAGAATTGAAGAGACGGTGGGAGGTTTGCGCGCCATTGCTCGAGTTGGTGATGCATTTCGGCTGTTAAGCTGGCGCTGGGGTAGCTATCCTTCTCAGCAAACGTGTACAAACTCTGCTTCACGCGTGTCAGAATAATGCGATGAGCGGCCTGAGCGAGGAAGTGGAAATTGAAGAAAGAGTCGTCTTCATCAGTGAGCAATCCCGATATAGAAGTCTTTGGCCGTGGGCATTGGGTGAACTTTGGTAGAGGCGTATCTGGCTCATAGTCCAATAGTCCACTGTGTGGAAGTAAGTCGAGTTCCTGTATAATGACAGTTTCGTACATCAGAGTACACCAGAAGAGGCGCGATAGCATGTCACCTTCCCATGTATCGTAGTCGACTGCCCCCGAACGGGTAAGAATGCTAGCGCAGCAGAGGGCTGCCCGATTCACGGTGGTCCATGAATCGAGAGGTCGCAGGATCTGGGCATAGTAGAGCGTCGAAAGCATGTAGAATTGGCCCGCTTGTATATCATTCTCGCACATGAGAAAACCGAATCGGTGTCTCGCTTCGTTGAAAAACTTGAGGCCCGGTGGGTCATCTGCAACAAGTTCGTACCAGTCTGGGTGTTCAAAGCCAGGTCTGGCTGCAGAGTGACGCGAAGGAAGAGCGAAGTCCCCTTCCTCATGAGCTTTGACAGCTAGGCAACCCAATGCGAGCACGTTGAGCACTAGCGCAGTTTCAACATCATACCCGAATTCGTTCTCCATAGCTGTGCCTAGCGTACTTGAGAAGAAATGATACTTGTCAAGGATTGGCATGTTGCGATGAAAAACGGCAAAGTACGCATCCGCAAGTCCTTTCACTGCCGACTGTGGAAGGCTCATCAACCAACTTTCCGGGGCGGTGCCGTATGGACGATCGATGTGTATCGGTAACTGCGCTCTTCGATTCTCGATGTCGACTATGTAGTCCTCTGGAAGCTCTGCTCGAACAGAGACAAATCCAGTGGGGAGAATCTGTTGTATGGCGGGCCAGAGCGCGACACGATGCTGACTGAAGGAAAGATCCACAGCACCTTGGACTTCTATGACCGGGAAAGGACTTTTGACAGGAGTTCCCACAACTTGTGGCGACATTGCCAACTCATGTATACTCAATTTACCGTTCTGGGAGTGATGAGATGGTATTGTTGAGACATGATATCCTGGACTGGGTTGTGAGAACAGGGTATGAGGTGATTGGTGGTCATTGATAGGTCCTGCTGGTGAGAGTGGAATAGCAGACGAAGGCTTGGGAGTATTAATTGCCGTCGTCAGATCTTCGATCTTTGCTTCCAGCCTCCGAATGGCATTGATGGCTAATGTTAAAGACTGATCTTTCTTCGTATTTCGCGGTGCCTGATAAGTGCACTCCAAATTCATGTTCCTGCAGTAACCGCATCTTGGTCGATCTTCATCACAGCGAGTCTTTCTTGATCTGCAAATGTCGCAAGCCTATTCTAGTCAGAAAATCGCTCTCGTATCTCCTTTTTTTTATAGCCACATACCAGTGTAGCCATGAATGACCGTGGCTTTTTCAGAAAAGAGCCGTCCCCGTCCTCATGGCTTCCGCTGCGCTCACCATCATAGGATGCCTGTCGTTCCGAGTGCTCTGCTTGCGAGGAGGCTATACTGGCATGGGACCTCTTGGTCATAGCACATCAAGATGTATCTGTCGAATTCGTGCATGGAAAGCGATGAATCGTTGCCAAGGTTGTATGAGATGGCTGGGAACAATGGATTATGACTGGCAACGGAGATGAACATGCTAGCGTGCACAGACGCTACGAAGAATCCGAGCTCGGAACTTTCGTAGACTCTACATCCTTTACCAAGACCTCCTCATGGTGCAACCACTCCATCAAGAGAGTCACATAACCTATTCACACGAACTCTGTAGGGTTTTGCAAGAGTCAAACCGCGTTGTGAAATCGCGATGGCAGCACTTATGTGCACGGGCCTACGCAGAATTACCCACTTGCGCGGCCTGTTTCCCATCGTAGCTGCCCTTCGATCGTTCCTACGCCAACAACATGTCCATACTTCGCAACCCTCAGCTTACTACTCTGTCTCTCACAGTATCGTATCACAGTATCGTCGTGCTCCATCGGCATGCGGTACGAACTATGCTATTTACTGATGCTTTTCCATAGCAACCGGCACAGGCCGCTGCATTTTCCTGCGCCGCTATTCTTGCAATACTTGGGAATATACGGCTCACTAGACCCAATCCCTAGCACATCGGCTTACCGTTCATGTGTGACTTCTCTTGCTCGTGTTATCATTGGCAACCAATAATCTGTTCTTAGATCTCTTTTACCTCTCACGCTCTCATTGTATTGCTCATCTACTTCGCCAAATGCAGTCTTTATTAGGCTGACTATGCACTTGCCCAGAGCTGGACATGGTGTGTATCAAGCTGGCGAGCGAAGCATGGCCTTGCTTGGTTGCTGCTTGGTCCCAGTTGCTTATCTGAAGACTCACGTGTAATATGGCTGAACGATTGTCTCCACACGGTCGCTACATCTTTATCCAAGATCTTGCGTGCTCGTATGCGAGCGTTGACGGTCCGTTGTGATATTTCCGTGCGTCAGGTTCGAGTAGGGCCAGGCGCGGCACGCCATGGACCTTGAATTACTCGCATCGTCGATGCCAAGCGACGACGAAGGTATCAAAAGCTTCTAGAGCTCGTAGTGCAGAGCATCAGAGGAGAATTCCAAGGTTGATCTCTGGGCTGCCGCAACATGACTCGCGGGAACTTTCCCCACGCCATCCTCCACACGCCAGCTTTCCCCACCATATCGCTCTTTCTTTCTCCGCTGAGTCACGTCTTGTACGATGCTCCCCAGCATGCGCTCCTTTCGTTGTGATCCTCCTCCCCAGCGGCGACAATGTCCTCTCCAGCACCGCCTGCCTCCCTGACGCGCGCCTCGGTCGAAGCCGCCCACGCCCTTATCAAACCGCACATCCACGACACGCCCGTCTTGACCAACACCACCTTGACCAACCTCGCCAATACTCGTCAAGCACCCGAAGCCCTGCAAAGAACACAATGGGAGGGCCAAGAGCCCGCGCACCCGAGGGTGAAGCTCTTCTTCAAGTGCGAGAATTTGCAGCGCATTGGCGCGTTCAAAGTACGCGGAGCCTTCCATGCCGTAACGCGATTGATTGAGAAAGAGGGGCTGGAGCAAGTGCAGAGGAAGGGAGTAGTCACACATAGCAGTGGTACATCTACAACCACGTCCCAAGGGGGCTCGGCGGCATGGCTAACATCAACACCAGGAAACCACGCGCAGGCCCTTGCGCTTGCTGCAAAGACCTTCTCCATCCCCGCCCACATCGTCATGCCCTCTATCTCCACGCCCTCTAAGATAGCCGGGACCCGCGCCCAGAATGCCAATATACATTTCTCCGGCTCCACGAGCACCGAACGCGAGGCTGTCGTTGCAGACGTAATCAAGGACACAGGCGCTACCCTAATTCCACCATACGACCATCCTCACATCATCCTCGGTCAAGGCACAATGGCGCTGGAGATACAAGACCAAGTAGATGAGCTGCTTGCAAGCGGTGAGAAACTCGATGCCGTCATAGCGCCCTGTGGTGGCGGCGGCATGCTAAGTGGAATCGCAGTCGCACTGCACGGCACTGGCGTACGTGTTTTCGGCGCGGAACCCAGTTTTCAAGGTGGAGACGATGCGAGGAGAGGCGTTGAAGCGGGTGAACGTGTCACCAGCGTCAAGACCTTGACCATCGCAGACGGACTTCGCACACCCCTCGGCCATCACACGTGGAACATCATCTCGAACAAAGACTACGTGCAGGCCCTATACGCCGTCACGGAGCAGAACATTAAAGATGCCATGAAACTTGTCCTGGAGAGGATGAAGTGTTTCGTTGAGCCGAGTGCCGTCGTTGGGCTGGCAACTATATTGTACAACGAGGATTTCAGGAATATGGTTCAGAGGGAGGCTGGGGACAAGACTTGGAACATTGGTGTTGTGTTTAGTGGAGGCAACACCACGATAGAGGCTATTACAAAGATCTTTGCCGAGGTACCGGAGGATAGGGCAGAGAGGCAGGAGGGCGTGCTGGGTAGAGATGGTAGGAGGGTAGCTGAGAACGTTGCGGGTTAATGATACACAAAAATCACGAAGAGAAGAGGAGATACCAAAGAGATGGTTTGTACTTTATGAGTTACACATTACATCGTATTCATTGCGTGACATCAGAGGAATGGTCTAGAACCACTTCTTCAGTTGTCCGGGCATAACACCCAGATCTCTCTTTCCAACGATGCTGGTCTCGTTACTCTGAGGGGTCTTGGGAAGAGTAGTGAAAGGCTCCCTGGATGTCAAGCTCTCAATGCGGCCCAGCAAGAACTCGAGCTGACGGTACGCACTGCTAGGCTGATACTGCGGCACCATGTGCCCACTCATAGCCTGTTGGACAAATGTCAACTTCCTCTCTGTAATTGTCTTTCCCATGAGGCCCTTTGCGCTCAAGCTGGTCAAGCTCAGGTCGTCATGGTAGGGCACATAGAAGTCATCGACAGGCGGGTTCTGGAAACCTTGCATGCCGCCCCAGGTCATGTTTTGGATAGCCATTAGGGTACCGTTGTAGAGGAGGATGTAGTCGAGCTCGCCGTGTGCGATGACGGTGCGATCTAGGGCGTCGATAACGCGGGGGATAACCTCCCAGGAAGATTGGGGAGATGTGTCAGTGTCGAGGACGCCGTTGGAGCACTCCGCCCAGGGCTGGATGGGCGCATTGATGGCAGCTTGTACTTCGGTACGGTTGAAGTAGATTTCCGTGTTAGGAGGAAGGTAGTCGAAGGAGCCGGGGAAGCCGAGAGGGTCCCAGAGAAGAGGGCAGGTGGTGGCAATGGCGTATACGTCGAAGCAAGGGTTGGTGTAGAAGACGGCGTTGTAGATGTCTTCCCACAGTCCGCAGCCTTCGGTATTGGCATCCATATCCGGGTATGGGAGCTTACTGGGCGGGGGGAAGGTCAGGTACTTCTCCATGTACTCGGTGTAGCCGCAGGCCTCAGAGCGGTTATGGATATCGTCCATGAAGGTCTGGTTAAAGTTGAAGAGACCAGCCCATTTGTCGACAAAGGCAACAGCGGGAATATCCTCAAGAAGAACATCCTCAGCTACACTGGGGTCGTAAAACATGATACCCTTCACATCGTAGTAGGTAGAGTCGTTTTTGCTCAACATGGCATCCGCGATGTAAGGGACGTAGCGTCCGGCGTATGACTCGCCAGTGATGTACACCTTGCGGTTCTGCAGACCGAATGTATCAACAAAGTTCTTGAAGAAGCCAAGGAATTCCTCAGCGGTCTCCTCCTGAGAGGTGGCAGTAGCATTGCCTTGGGTGAATCCAGTGCCCACTGGCTGCTCAACCCAGACCATGTTGGTGAGGTTTGCCTGAGAAAGTCAGTAAATGCAAAGAGAGTAGAAACCATAATATTAACGTACCCAATTCCAGGGGTTGTAAACAGCGGCTGGTCCGGAACCGTACTGCCATGAGATCGGTCCGTTCTCTTGAAGAAATCCTTCAAGAGATGAGCAACCTGGACCACCGTTCAGCCAGATGGTGATCTCGTCACTCGCATCAGGGTTCTCGGATGGGAAGAACCAGAAGTACAGTTCAGAGGTCTCATTAGCAGCTTTGCTGATAGGTAAAAGACCAGCGTAAGACTCGCCAATGTCAAAATCGACGTCGGGGATTGCTCCAGCAGTTCCGTTGACAGCGAAAGCTGGCAGGTGTTAGCTGGTGTTGAAAGAAAGGTAATGCACAACATACACTTGGAGGCCTCGGTAGTGATGATCTGAGTGCTCTGACGCTTGTGGGGATGAAGGCTCGATTCTGGAACAGTCAAACGAGGACGAGGGAGCTCATTCTTCTTGCCAACAGAGCGAGCGCTTCGGGCAGAAACACTGGCTGTGAGGCCACCAACAGCGAGGAGTGAAAGAAGCTGCATCTTCGCGATCGCAGTGCCGGGATTAGTTGGAAGTCAAGCTCGTGCTGTGACTATCAGGGACCGTGAAGAAGAAACCGTGTGGGCAACTGAGCCTTCTTGAAGTAGAAGTATGGAGCGTGAGACCGACGTCACCCGGCGCCACTCTGTACGCGACGCGGCATATGTCTTCCTGTACCTGGACAAACACAGATAGCTCATGGCGAACATAGCTTCAGCTCTTTACCTGATTAGGCAGGCGAGATTTAAGTCGCATGTTGATGATTACCCGAAGCATACCAGGCCAACATTCTCGCGTGCGTAGCTGCTCGTGCGATATGTCCTACGCAAGGATACTTGCTTGCGCACCATTGCGGATCAACGTAGCTGAAGATTGAAGGCAACGCGATGGTTGTTGACTCCTAAGACTGCGGCGTTACTTCATGACGTCGGTAATATCGTCCAGGTACGACCGCGATAGGCGGGGAATGCATGCTCCTAGATACACGACCACAGTGGCGGACCGAAGCTAACGGCGCAAAGCATTCTCCAAGCCCCGCCGGCGACGCCGCCAGTGCGATCAAGCACTGGTAGACCCACCTCGTATTTCTTGATAGAGTGGACGCAGACGGGAAACTATCCCTTCGGGCTTGTCGGATGCCAACTCTTATCTCTACGATACAAGCATCCAAGCCGTAATCCGGGGCCACGGTAGGCTCAGTGCGCGCCGCTGGGTACTAGAGGGAGGGATCGTCGAGCTTCATTACTGGTTGAGATTCGCCTTGGAAAAATATCGCCCCCCTACAGAGGTCGAAGGATCAAGCACCATGGCGGATGCTTGTCATGCCTTCGGCGCAGATAAGTGTTGCGCGCATTAACCGCATACGGCAGCTGTGAAAATTGTTGCTGTGGCGCTCTAACGTGACGAAAACAATGTGGTCACTCGAATCTGCAGGCCTCTACGTCCGGTTCAATGCGTTTCGGGCGACAAATTGAGGAAAGAGAATGGCAGGGACGTGGTGTGTGGTGCATTCAGAGTTGATGAAAATGTCAGCATTGGCGTTGGCGTTCGCGCGGCAGTCGTGGCGCATCCGGAAAAGGTAGCACTCTCACATAAGCAGAACACTTCACACATTATGATTGTCAGCAGTTCAACGTTATTCTCTTGGCCTGGTCATCAGGTTTCATCAATAGTGCGATTTCTAGATAGAGCCCTCCTTTTCAGCCAGCGTTGGATATGCCAGGAAACACTCGATGGCTTTCGCCTGATCCACAGTGGTTATAGGTTCAAGCCTCTCCACGGAGAGCACCACGGCGAACGCGACGTACACCATATTGTGGCGCAGTTGCCAGGCGAAGCATCTGCTCAAAGTCGGGCGTACCGTAGCCGGTGACAGGATCCCAGCCTTCGGTCGCATTCCAGGAAGCGTAAGGCACAAGTCGCGTGGGAAGCCCGGAATAAATGGAACGACCAGTGCATCCACGCGAGCCTCCCTCGACAATATCGTTCATGCCCTTGTAGCCTTGCTCGTAAATCCAAGGGTTCAAAAAGCCCAACGAAGGCATACCAGCTGCTAAACGAGCGTTGTTCAGAAGTCCAATGACTGAAGCGAAGACAGGCGCTGAAGCGCTGGTTCCTCCAACAGATGACAGACGAAGCTTATCGATAACCTGGAATCCTTGACCTTTCTAAGAGTTAGCTTTAGGTATATGGCATATTGCAGAAAAGAGTTTATTACCTTGAGCTGCGACATCTGGGAAGCCTCGTCCGTTGGTGTTGTATAAACCTTCCCACTGCGAGCCCAGTTTACCAAGGTAGTCAGAAACTGCCTTCTCTTGGTACGACGGGCGTGGCCAGAGATCAGAGAAGCCACCGGAAGAGAACGCAACAGCACGTTCTGGTTCCACTCCGAAAGTACCACCAACCGAAGTAACGTAAGGGCATGAAGCTGGGAAGATTGGCTGGAGACGGGTAGCGTTCTTGCCGTCATTGCTCTGGCAGGCAGATCCTGGACCAGTGTCACCGCTGGCTGGGTATTGTTAGCACACATTGCCCCAGATCTTCATGAAGCTACACTCCAAATTGGAAAATGCTTGGAAAACTTACAGAAGATAACTGAGACACCACGAGTACCAAGCTGGCCGATCAAATCACAAACCTTCTTGGCGTACTCCGCAGGAACGCTCTGCTCTGTCTCACCGTACGATGTCGTTAGTACTTGAGGCAACTCCTCATCCTCAAGCCCAACGAGATAGGTAAAGAGATCTAGATAGGGCTCATTGCTGTTTTCATCTTCATCAGGTTGATCAAGGTCAGGGACCAAAAGTCCTCGTCCTGGAACAGTGAAGAAGGTGGTCGAGATCTTGGGCGACACCAAACCTGCTGTGTACTGGATGTCGAGATTAGCCTCCACGCTGTTGGCCGTTGAGTTCTGGGGGAACGGTCCGTCTGAAATCGTCAGTTAGTTACAACGAGGTAATAACGACTGTATCTCACCATTTACAGATTGAACTTCGAAAGTTTTACCCGCAAGACTGGGAGCAAATCTTTGGATGAACAGGTCGAGATCATTGAACCGAGCATACTGCTCGAGGAAGCCGCTCACTCCAATTGTCACATTGGCCTTGTCACTGACATCGTAGTCCTTGAAGTTGTACAAATCTGCGAGACAATCGGGCGTGATCCTCGAGTTGCATGTGGCATTGACAGCAAGTGCCGAGACAGGAGCGACGTCTTGCGTTAGAACCTGGCTAAACTCTGGGCGGATCTCACCGAAGCGAGTAGTGGGCTGGATCATATCAATATGACTACGGACCTCGAGGGGTACAGAGTACCCCAATGAGCGAGTTCTCTTGAGTGCAGGACGCGCTTGACTCTGGTAGGTCTTGAACGTGGTACCCATCATCTGCTCGGCGCGCTTCACGGGTGCGAGAAAGTTGATCCACTCTCCCTTATTCTCGATATCTCGCGCTTCGATACCGTATTGCTCGAGCCAAGTAAGCACACTCGCAGTCGAGTCGGCTCTTGGTTTGATGAGATCTTTCAGTTCGTCTCGCTTTAGGTGCTGACCATAGCGAGGGTGGCTAGGAGTTGAAACCTCCATGAGCGTCCTTTCAAACAGGTCGCGATTGGCCTGTCGTGGTCAGCATCTCGATTCATGATTCCAAGGCGTGAGGGCCTGAAATCCTTGCTGTCGCAACTACTCACCGATCGCACTGCAATGCGGAAATGCAGCTTATGCTCAGGGGCTGGAGCACCGACCTCTCTCCATCCCTCGGGCACAGTATGGAGGTGTTCAACCACCTCGTTGCCCTCGATGTGGAAAGGAGTGGATACTGACCACGCGCTGACACCAGCGACAGCCAGTACGCCCGTGAAGGTGGCAGTATACCTCATGCTGGCTAGCGACACTGGTCGTGTGGATTGGGGGGTGACAAGGCAGAAGAAGCAAGGGCTCGAGGTTATGCTTGGACCCTGATAGCTTGGCAACAAGAGTGATGAGTGAGGGTGGAAACCGCGATCGAGACCACGGCAAGCTCAATTATAGTCGGATCTGCCAAGACACGGGGATTAAGACTTTCAATATAAACACGCCCGCCGCCCAGTTGTTTCAAGTACATATGCAGGCGGATACCGGGATCAGCATGATGGCTGGCGGCCCTTGCTTCGACAACATGATCGTCATTGCGGCTCTAGAAGCACCGTGCCGCGTTCGAACAGCGCCAGGCACCTTCCTTATTTACCATCTCTCCGAGCATGGCCATAATCCCAAAACGCTCCTCGTCATGGACGGGGTCGACATCGCTGCTCATTCGGCGGTGCTGATCGGCCTAACATATGCATGAAGATCGGCGCATGCGTGAACCGGCTATATGTATAATAACACGCGGTGCCATTGTGCGGATCGGTCCCATATCTGGCCGTAGGGAACTGAATGTGTGCATACGGGACACGCATACAGGGGCAGAAAGAGATATGGAGTGGTTGCCAGTCTCAGATCAAGTGTCCTGGATGTTCTGCGGCGCAGGAATGCTTGTCAGAGCTTCTTGGTGTTGGCGGACATGTCGAGGCGAGAGTGGTTAGTGGCGTGGGGTTCCGACGGGCGGCTTGCGCCGCACCTTGTTTGCAGTTCGGCCTGCAAGCAGCCCTAGAACAAGGTCGCTTGTGTCAACAGTGCCCGCAGCGTGGTAGCCCACTACCGTGAGCATGACATGATAGGCTGTATCACCCGTCAGTCTTGTTGCATCGCGCTTGCGTATGTACATGCCATGGTTCCACAAATGCGACACAGTTGCTGCAGTGACCGATGCAATAACACTCCGGCAGGAGCTGTGAGAGTACGTTGCCATGTGAAGAATCGTGATGGAATTTGTTCTTCCGTATCGCGCCTCAATTCTTACTAACAGCTTCCTCCACTTGCTTCTTTGCGTCTGCAATCTCCTCGTCGGCCTCTACGCGTCCTTCGAATCCATTTTCTAGAACGTTGATGAGATCATCCAGCCGCTTGACGACGAAATCAGTATGCTGATGCTCAGCAAGATGCTTATTGACATCGTTGACCAGCAACACAGTCGCGGCTCCAGCACGATAACCCGCCGTCATATCGTCAATCGAGTCGCCGACCATGATCAAACTCTTTCCTCCGTCTTCGTGCATCCAGTCTTTCGCAATGTGCAGGATTCCCGCCGGATCAGGCTTTGGGGGCCTGAACTCCCGCGTTACAACAGGGCTGAATTCTGATGTCGGTAGAAAGGTGGTAAGGAGATGAGTGACAGGTGCATCGAAGTTGCGTGTGCAGATGCCCTTCTTGATGCCACGAGAATCTAGGTACTCCATGAGCTCCACAAGGCCAGCTTGCGGCTGTTGCGACTTCATTGCCGTGCGTTCAATGTCACGAATTTTTTCCTGTGCCTCTTCTTGCTCACTCTCGGGCAGTGAGTAGACGTGGTCCAGAATGTCCGTTGGCTTCTCAATACCCAGCGCTGACCGCATCTCCGCGAACATGTAGTTTTGTGGTAAGCCTTTTTTCCCAGTTAATTAGTACATGAAATTATGTATCGCACACACCATTGGACAACTTACATAATGTGCCGTCGACATCAAAGACGATTCCCTTCAATAATGGCCTCTCATCTCCATCCATCCTTTTCGCGGGATCCAACGGTGCGAACCGCCGCGGTCGCACAGGCTGCGACATGCTGCTCACCAATCTCGTCGCAGGTGAGTAGATCCGAATACTGTTGAGTCCAGATGGCTTGTATTGGTTCCTGAGAAGACTGGAACAGCGGAACACAATGGCATTCATGTTGGTGGGGTTGTACAGACAGGTGTTGCTTACTTGGGAAGTGGGTCCGATCTGAGCCGCACTTTTCAGATCAGTAGCTGGCAGGGATGACGTCGTGGTGCGGGTTTGAGATTAGGTTCAGTTGGACCATCACGTCTTGCTCTTCGCCGCCATACACCCTCCACCAGATCCAAATCATTCAATGAAGAAGACCCCTAGCAATTAAGTACCACGATACTCTTACCGTAATGAACATAGTCACCAAGTTCAGAGTTGATCATAAGGCGTACACGGAAGACCGAGCGTCTAGCATTTGATCATGTGCACTCATCTTTTCTGTGCACAGTAAGTGACAACTTACCAGTGGCCATAAGGCCAACCTCTGTCTTCTTGTTTCAAGACATTTTAATCACTCTGGGCCTCCGAATTTCTCCCCGTTACACTGGAAGCTTTCGGTAAAAGCGGTGAACATACATTGATGCATAAGCCCGACGATCTGGTCATTGTCAACATGGAGGAGAATATCATTAGTCTGCCTGATGGTGATATACTCATGTTCATTGCTTCGGCCTTTACGCCTTCATCAGTGTATCTTGCCAGACCTTCCCTATGATATTATCAGGAAATCCGCTGCAGCGGCTGGAGCTTCAAGGACAGGTGCTCACGACAGGCTTGTTTGATAATCCTGGGTATCATATGCGTACAGGAGAGGATTGTAGGGAGATGTTAGAGTGAAACAGGAGAGGCATGATGATTTGAACTTCCGAGATTATAGAACAATAGGCAGTATATGGTCACAGTGGAAGCTGACATATTCATTGTGCGAGTTGCTCGTGAGTTCGCATCACGTGCATCTCTTGCATTAAGCCCTTGCGACAATAGTGCAAGCAAAATGTTCTTCTAAAATGTAGTTGTATAGAAAAGAATTATCGGCTGGCTTTGAGTTGCCTGATTGAGGACGCCGGACTCACTATCTAAAAGGTGATTGTAATAGTCGAGTTCACCGCAGGGCGGATGTTGTAGTACTTCGACTTGGGGTAGTAAAGGTTGTTCCAGCTCTGCCTGAAGTTTGCTTCACCACCAAGCTTGTTAACAACAGTGGCGACGATGCTCTTGTCATCAGTAACGGGAAAATCGCCAGATGACTCCCACCACCAGGCACCACCGAGACCCTCTTGCATGAGGTAATCGGTCTTCCATGAGGCAACCTTGGGTGTGTCGAAGCTAACCATCTGCTTGCGAACTGGGTCCCAGCTCCAGGCGGCCAGAGTCTCCTTGTCGTGGTATACCTTGCTGCCGTTCTGGGGAAGAACCTTGTAGTCAAGAGTACCAGGCTCCCAGGTACCGTCACCAGATCCGTTGAACTTCTGGCCCAAACCACGTTGTTCCTTGCTCAGGTCGACGACGTTGGCGAAAGAGCGGCCGTAAAGAGGCATACCGAGCTGAATCTTGCTGGGCGAAGCAACATTAGCCTTGTAGTAGTCGATGGCTTCCTTGGTGTTGAAGGGGACGAAGTCCTCAGTGACAACATCCCAGCCATTTGTAGCCCTGGGGTTCTTGGAACTGGGGTAAACGTTGCTGAGATGACCAGTGAAGTTGGAGAAGCCAGGGCCCTGGTAGTCAAAAGCCATCAGGTTCCAGTTGTCAACGTATGGGTCCATTTCGGCAACAGGCATGACTGTGTAGCGCGAAGGACCAGCAGGGGCAGAAATACCAAGGTCGAAGTGGTAACCCGCCGCGTTAACTATCGCGTACTCATCGAACGTCTGAAGACATGTTAACTTGGTGGACAGTAAAGGTTTTGAAAATGAATACATACCCTGCGGCAGCGTTGTAGGGTGTCAACCAAGTTGGCACCATCAGTCTCATCCTCTGGGTACTCCCAGTCAATGTCAAGACCGTCGATTCCCAGATCCTGGATGAGCGTGAGAGCGCTGTCACAGAACTTCTGGCGGCCCGCCTCGGTGGCGAGGGCGGGCTTGAAGTTGGCCCTGTAGCTCCAGCCACCGACCGAGAGGATGACCTTCAGGTTGCGGTTCTGCTGCTTGAGCTTGAACAGCTGATTGAAGTTGCCAAGCAATTGAGTGCCGTTAGTGGCAACGTCTCCTGGGTAGCCGTACTGAATGTCAGCCCACTCGTCGGTGAGAAAGACTTCTCCGGTCTGGTTGTTCACGTTGGCAAAGCCGTAGTTGACTTTGGTCAACTTGTCGGCTGGGAGATCGGTGACGAAGTGCTGACGCGCATAGATGGCCCAGTTGACGTAGAAGATACCAGACTGGTACTTCACGCCACTACCGTAGCCGACATCACGTGGGTGAGCATGCTTGTGGTTATGAATGGCCGGAGCAGCCTGAGCCAAAGAGGCCAAAGAGAAAAGAGCGGCAGCGTTCGAGACACGCATTTCGAAATGAGAGGACGGCTAGTAGCCAAAAAATTCAAACAAGAGGTTGAAGGGAAACTTGCAGGATGTGCGAGTGATGATTGAAGCACTATCTGAAGAGGTCGCGGCTCTTACATACTTCTCATATTGGCCACTGCCCTATAGCTGATGGTCTTTCGTCGGTGTCCAAGCCGTAAAGCTTAACATTTGGCCGCAACGTTGACTCGAAACAGCGAATAGCTCTTGACTTTGGCACACGCCAACCATTTTCCAAGCCCAGTTTGCGCAGTACTCCCCAGACGTATACGGACCGAAGCGTTGATGTTCCTGGGGTGTGGGTAATTTAACCAAGTCCAAGCGCTGAGTTTATTTACTAGTGTATAGAAGTCGGTCCTTCCTTGTCTTCTTCGTTTCGTCTAGAGTGCCCTTTGATTTTCTACAGCGGCGCCCGTCGCATCCGATTGCTGCCCTGATCTGAACATGATACTTAGGTCGGAGTTTGCCAGCATGTCGCATTGACGCCGCAGGGCTGACATTGAAGATGAACGCCATGTGCGAACGCGCAATGGACGTTTGAGCCTTGATTGATTTAGCCTAGTACGGCAACCCTATTCTCTTCGCCTCTGGGCCTGCAAATCGAGCTATCGGGTAAGCTGATGACGAACCCACGGTTTTCGTTTAAGGGGAGGCCTTTGATGACGGTAGAACAAAAGCCCGATCGCCTGGTTCAAAAGCTGTACAAACCCACTTCTTCGACGCGCAGACGATCTTCCGGCTTTATTTCGATGCTTACATACTTTTCCGGTGGTTCCATCTCGAACGCATTAACAGCAACGTCTGCGAACTGTACGCACTAGAAGTCTGTCGCGGAAGAACTATCGGCAGTGAGCTGCAGCGAGTCCCGAAATACGACCAGACCCCCAGCAAGCTATTGGAGGAACCACTCGGACGGCAGATAATCTATTAGCAGTGAAAGAAAAAGCTCTTACAAGTCGAACGTATTGTTCAAGGCGGCAGCTTCAGGAGCTACATGATAACAGTCGCTGACTTTGATACATGAAGCAACTACGCAAGCGAGTCTTGCGTGTCTTCTTCCATGATGCCTCGTAGGCTCAAATGAAGAATCTCTAAGATCAAGCGCACGTCGGGAGGTAACCAGGCTAAACTACAGTACGCATGTGCTCTCATTTGATTACAATTCCGTACATCGCATGGTGGATTCATCAATACTAGAGCACGCGACTTCGGCCTGATGAGTCATCTCTGCTTACCTGGATTTCCTGGTCATTGCGCTCGAGCCCTGATAAGCCTCATCGCTGACGTCGATCTTTCTGAAGTCGCGAGTGGCTTGAAGACACGACCAGACTGTGCCACATCCGACATACCGAGCGAACGCCCTACCATCTTCCTCATTCCTCATATTGAGGCCGCGTTCGTTGCATGGAGGATTGAAACAATGAACATAAGCAGCCGTTCTGTAACCCCTGCCTACATGTCGCAACATGGTTTCGTCTTCGTTGATACTGACACTTCCTCAACTCAAGCTGCCAGGTATGCTGAGATCTGTCGCAAACTGATCTTAGACAAAGAGATGAGACGTGCTCAAATTCAGCAGCTACACTCTGCGTTGACGTATGTGTCGCATACGATGGTATTGCGACGAGGGCCTGACAAATACGACTTGAATAAAGGGCCACGAGCATCGCGGACGGACGTTAACTGGATACGATCGATTGCTCAATTCGAAATCTGGAAGTTACATGGGAAGAATAGCACCATCTTCCCGTTGGTTTTTCGTCTGGCATAGTGCGAGGTGGTTGTTTTCCAAGGTGCGAAAATTGAAGGTATGTGTTTGATCGCGGCCACTACGAACTCACAGACCCGAGACTGTTGAGAGCGTTGTGTAGTCCAATCTTGTCAATCAAGGATAAGACATGATCAGCCTAGCTCAGCGCCATCTGATCATACCACGAGTAGGTCGCATACCTTAATAATAGCATGAAGGCAATATTTGCCGATCTGTAGCTAATAGACGGCAAAGCAGAATTTATAGACAGCAAAGGCACGTGGGTGGGTGCAAGGGCAGAGTGGCTGTTTGATCGTGGTGTTGGACATCTGCCATGTGCTTGACAGTCTCAAACCGCTTGTTGGCCTCAAGTAGGCGAGGCTGGACTTGTCAAAGAGCTTGGTAAGAAAACAACATCTACTTCTCTGGGATTCTCTGCCGCTTTACTCACTTCCTAGGGCTGTACTCATCTCGCGGTTTTCCGACTATAGTATTTTTTCCAGTGTGCCTCCTCGAGATCTTACGCCTAGCGCCGGTAGCTCGATTATACTTTTGTTGAGCGCTTTGTACAAAGCCTCTTCAAACGGCGAAAGTTGCTCAAATCCTAGATGAAACGAACACACGCCTTCCACGCCGCTGTCCAGGTACCTCCCAGCCTCGTTGGGCGTGCCGTTACAGACAGAGTCGCATGTCGTCGCCATACCCGAATACTGGAGGAGAGACCACAGGGGGCTGGAATATCAACCAGAAAATTGAAGTATCGGCGTGATATGCTGGATACTCTTCTGTCGGCGTGTAAGCAGACAAAAGCCTTCGCGGAACGGGAAAATGCTGTCCCGCTTGTGCAGAAGTTTCTAGTTTTGGCGCAAACGCTGGAAAGTTCAAAGGCTGTCGCATTCTCCCTTGGAATTGCAGATAGTGTGGAGATTGCGGCCTCGACAACCGCAGAGAAGGTTGCTGCAAGTTTATACTCGTCGCCTGAGCTGGCATCTAGTTCGCTCGATCGTCCTACACCAAAGCCCGTTCAGAAAGACTTCTTGCACCCCCTCTTGGTCGCGCTTCTTGCATTCAAGTTAGGCGGTCCGATCAATGCAGCCTCCACCACACACCAACACGAATGGAGACTTCCAAGCGAAAAGACGCGGGATACACCGAGCTTTTATAGTGAGGGCGACTTCGTAAACATGTTCGAGGATCTGCGGATCGCCGTAATATGGGAGACGCGCGATGGTGAAGCAGCCGGTCCATCAGGCAACCACACCGTATTTTTGACAGGTGATGCCACGCCTCGACCACTAGTAACATTGGGAACGCAAGATAACGCAGCTAGTTCGCCAATTACAATACTCTACGATTGCGGACATGCTGCGTTGTACTACGATTGTGATGATCCGGATGTTATACGCAACAGCATCAGCGCAGACCTGCACCTGAATGCTATCTCGGATGAAGATATCCAGCTCTTGAATGGGTCGCCCAGTGATGTGTTGCGTGGAAAATTATCTCTAACAGAATTGGTAACCAATTTTCCCATCGCAAAATACGCCACACATTTCCACAATCTTCTTTTCGACAGTGTCTCACTCAATGCCATTCTCGCAACACTAGGAACGCTCGACGTACCACCAGCACCGACCATCCCGAAGATTGGACGATGTCTGTTGGAAGAACGGTTCGAGACATACAAGAAGGACAACTGGGCTCATCTGCCACTGGAGATAAAGAGAATGGAAACCGACGTGTATCTGGAAGGCACATATCCTACAGCAGCTGACTTTCTAAACGGTGTTGTCCTCAAAGCACGTCGTGATGTTCATCTACCTGTCGGAGTGAAACTGTTTCCACAGTCTCCTCTGGATGAGATTTCAGAAGAGGCGAGAAAGTTTATCCGAGACTTGCCAGGAGACCTGATCTCGACTCGAATGGCGTACTATGCATCAGCTCTTATAGACTCAGCATATACCATTGGAGACCTAATCCCAACCGCGAACTTGCACAAGTTCGCAGAGCTACTAGAGCGGCGCTGCCTCGAATTGATCGGCATAGGATTTATCGACGATGAATCTCGGCTTTCGTCCATGGCGGCCCTGGCAAGTGCTTTCGGAAATGCTGTCGATGGGCTGAAAGAAGTGCAGATGGTAGCGGAGCCATGGATTGAAGGCTTGGATCTGCAGGTTTATCGAACGCGTTGCTTGTACCTCTTTTGGTGCGCTGGTAAGTGCCTCTATACGAACTGCATGTGAGACATACCCTGACTTCGTACGCTTTCACTTAGACTGGTTAGTTTGCTATACGATGAAACCTGTAACGGGAGCTTTCATGATCATGGATGCGGACACGGCTATAGCAGATGCGCGGGATATCGGAAGAGAGGTGCATCGGATGGCGATAGTGTTCCTGCGCAACTGGATGGCTTGGGGTCTGTTCGTAGAAGGCTTGCCACAACGAGGCTTCTTCGTCCGGCGGCCGTAAGAACAGCGGTGGTGGTGATTACTCATAGGACCTGGAGCGGTGTAAATTTTAGGGGTAGATCCGAGATTGACGGCTATACCTAATTGCTTCCCTGCCGTGTTATCCTGATTCGTGGGCTGCGGGCTTGAGAAGTGACATTCCGAACCGTGTCGCAAGCCGAGTGTGGCTAAGAATTGTTTTGATCATGTGCACGCGGAAGCTCTACAGTGAAGAGGCGTTCCAACATGCACCTAAGTAAGTAAGCATGAGATGAGGGAGAGTTCATGCAACAGCGGGATCTCGCTGATGCTTTCGGTGACGGGACGCTAGCCGGGCGCTAATTTCACCTCGCCTTTGGAAACCGCTCCAGAGGTCATGCGACTGCCCTTTCCACTCTAAAAATTCTCCGTGAATCCTGCACATCGCTCCAATCGCGTGGCTGTTTCATCAAGTGGCTGAAGACATTCCATCAATCGGCTGCAGGCGCTACTACCGTGTGTTGCGTATTCGCAATGGCGTTTGACATGATCGCGCCACACGACAGCGGCGCCACGCGTCTAGACCAGTTGTGGGCCCGTTTCGTTTCACCATTAATCTGGCACGGCTCGACACAAACATCGGATATTGGCCCACAGGAGTTCCCACGATGCAAAAGCTTGAGCCTCGGGAGAACCACATGCTTGGTTGCAACAAGTATGCTTGGCCAGTCTTACAAAAATGGAAACTGAAGTGGCCGACGACGCTTTGCGATTGCGCCAATGAACAAGTGAACGATGCGATCAAGTCCTGGTGTCGTTTCATTCATATGAAGCGGAGCAACCTGTACCGTGGATCCACCTGTTACAGGCAGCGAAAACATCCGCGCAAGAGCCATCTGCTTGGTGCCCTCATTTCTCGGAGACCCTTGGACTTCTGCAGTGACAAGCCTTGCCCAGCAGTGACAAGCTTCGAAGGATTCGAGCTTGACTACGAGTCGTGTGTGAATCCTCCGATGGTCCCACCTCTCCCACCTATCACTACGTGCCACCGTCGTTGAAGCTCTTGTATAAAGATCTGGTGCTGTCACCTCCCCGGAGCCTCATCAAGTCACTCATTCATTCACTTCTCACACAACAGCCTTACATTCATTTCCAAAGTCACTCTTTCCAAACTACATTCATCATGGTTGCCTTTGCACTCACATCCCTCCTCCTCAGCGCTGGCGCGCTCGTCTCTGCTGCTCCTTCGAGCCTGGACACTCGTGCGAGCTGCACATTCTCCGATGCTGCTGCCGCCATCAAGGGCAAGGCTTCTTGCACTGCCATTGTCATCAAAGACATGACAGTCCCAGCAGGAACCACTCTTGACTTGACAAAGCTCAAGTCTGGTACTACTGTTACCTTCCAGGGCACCACCACATTCGGCTACAAGGAGTGGGAGGGTCCCCTCATCTCTGTTTCCGGAACCAACATCAAGGTCGTTGGTGCTGCTGGCCACCTCATTGATGGAAACGGTGCAAAGTGGTGGGATGGCAAGGGTACTAACGGTGGCAAGAAGAAGCCTAAGGTATGTTGGACCAAGAACTTCTATTGAGCTTTTGCTGACTTCGCAAGTTTTTCTACGCCCACTCCATGACCTCGTCCTCCATCACCGGACTCAACGTCAAGAACACCCCTGTCCAGGGTTTCTCCGTTAACGGCGCCAAGGACCTTACCCTTGACAAGATCACCATCGACAACACTGCTGGTGACGTAACCAACGGTGGCCACAACACCGACGCCTTTGATGTTGGTAGCTCCACTGGTGTCTACATCACCAACGCCAACATCAAGAACCAAGACGACTGCTTGGCTGTCAACTCCGGTACTGACATCCACTTCACTGGTGGAACCTGCTCTGGCGGTCACGGTATCTCCATCGGCTCCGTTGGTGGTCGCAGCGACAACGTAGTCAAGAACGTCGTCATCTCTGACAACACTATTGTCAACTCTGACAACGGTGTCCGCATCAAGACCGTCTCTGGCGCCACTGGTTCCGTCTCTGGCGTTACCTACAAGAACATCACTCTCAAGAACATCGCCAAGTATGGTATCGTCATCCAGCAAGACTACGAGAACGGCTCCCCCACTGGCAAGCCCACTACCGGTGTCCCGATTACTGGCCTCACTATTCAGAACGTCAAGGGTACTGTCGCCGCCAAGGGTACTGACATCTACATCCTTTGCGGTAAGGGTAGCTGCTCCAACTGGACCTGGTCTGGCAACAGCGTCACTGGTGGAAAGAAGAGCACTAGCTGCTCCGGTATCCCTACCGGCGCTTCTTGCTAAGTGCTGAGACGAGGATTGGGGCATGATGAAAAGCATCATGGAGTAATGTTTAGGTGTGGCAGGGAGGGCCTGTGGCTCTTCCCTTTTCTCTTGTATCTATTTTTTTTCACCGTATATATCAATCTATCACGACAGCTTATGCTGCTCTGCAGATCTTAGTTCTACGTCCATCGCGCAGAAAAGTTTGCTCGCTCTCACAGTTGACCAATGTTCCAAACAAGGCCAAGATGATGTTCATTATGGTAGATGTTTCGTAGAATGGTTGCAGATGGGAGTGTTGTTCTCGTCATTTCGCACCTTGCTTCCAAATCAGGATATCGCCATCATGATTCTCGGGTTCTGCTTATCAGCGCTATCCTTCGTCTCCACAACTTCTTCCATCTACGCCCTAGGCGGCAGTACAGTAGGCACCGGACCCCTAGTCGTCGTCCTGGGTAACTCCGGCACGGCAATAGTAGGCACGCAAGCGCATGCACTACTGACCTTCGCCACCACATCTTCCCCAGCGCACGCTTCCCTCGCAAACTCTGGAACAACTTGTACGTCATCGATCAATCTCTGCGTGAAGTTACCGCAGAATTCCTGCGAAGCGTCCAGTCTACCTTCAACATTTGCTGTACGCATTGACGCAAGACAAGAGTCTGCCTCGCAAACCGCTGGCTTCGCACACTCTTTACTAGTCATCTTGACTACGAAACTACCGCGCTCGATGGTGTGTACGAAGATGAAACCGCTTTTGAAATTTGCGTAACTGGACCATGAGCCCAGGAAAGCTACTGTGCCGCCGCCTTCATTCTCGTCATCTTCGGGATATATGTCAAAGAAGCCTGCTTCACAAATGCTGTTGCCGCTTGGGTCCTGCGTGATGGAATGAATGTCCAGAACATTTAGTCCGTTTCCGTAGTTCGATTGGTAGAGATGGTCACCGACAACGTATTGGTTATGGTCGATACTACGGCGTTTTCCTTCGTAGTTTCCAGAGTAGAACGGATTTTCCAAGTCTCTGATGTCAAATATGTGGGTCGTACTAGATGTAAGTGTACGAAGTCAGCCTATGTCTCATATGCAGCTCATACAGGAACACTTACGGCAGACCCTGCGTCATGGGCCCAACGCGGGCATCGCGCTCATCGAATTCGTCGTCAAGGAAGAGGTATTCTTGCCAGGTCGCATTATTGACAACGCCCTGATGCACATACTCTGCACCGGGGTATGTAGTGCGGGAGATGATATTGGTGGTGTTGCCAGCTTTGTCGGTCACGTCGTAAATGGTAAGAGTGTCTTCGTTGTAGCCATAGCAAATGTCGCGCCCATAGTATTTTGTGTCTGGTCCGCGGTAAACGATGCATTCGGCATCATGGACGTATCCATCTGCGGCTGCGCAGCCAGGGCTCGTAGGGTTACTTGGGTCGCTCATGTCAATGTAGATTAGACCTCCACGGCATGGCAAGTCACCACGAACACGAATAGTCTCATTGCCGCCGACGGAACCGACTGCTACGGCGTAGTTGAGCTCTTCGTTGACGACAATGTTGTGGGTCCGGCCAACCGGGAGGGCATTCCAATCATCGCTCAGCCCCCAATGGCCAGTCAGATCCTCTTGGGTGAAGTTCACAGGCTCACTCCCATCGATATCAAGCAACTTCTTCATGTCAAATATCTGAACACCGTGGTTGATGGCCTCGCTACCAATGACGGCGTAGTCCCTCATCACGCGAATCTCACGCCAGCGGGATCCGATAGGGTCAAAAGGAGGCAGGCGACCGAGATAGATGAGCTTCCCTTCACTGCTGATTTCTGCAAAGGCTGTGCCATCAAATTGACCGATTGCTACGAACTCGCGTCCATCTTCGGATGTCCATCCCCAGGAAGAGGATCCTTGGCCTTGAGAGCTGCCGAGGAGGGAATGTGGAAGGAAATGGTAGAGATCGATCTTCGCATGTCAGCAATTTGCGAAACGCTCTAAGTTCGAGTAGACCAACATTATGGCATTTGAATGTGTTGTTGAAGTCACCAGGGATTGCAGCAGCAAAGCCGTTCTCACACGACGTATAACCAAGTTCGGGATACCGGGTGCTATCCATCTCTCCAGAGGCGATTTCAGCGTCCCATTGCGCCTAGCCGTGTTAGTCAAGAACCAGTAACTTCAATTGCAGTAATGAAAGCGTACTGTCTTCATTGCCATGATCCTCGCATGCACCGTTCCATCAGCATACTCTTCCGCAGTACCCAAGGCAGCAGCATTGCTCAACCCGACCAATGCAGAACCAATAACCGACAGCGAAGGTACGTGAACCATGGTGACAACGACTCTCTATCAGACTGGTCGTTTGAGAGGTTCCTAGACATCATCTGCCCCAGACTCCCCACACCTTCATATACTCTTTACTCATCTTCCTACGGATAACCCACGAGCCGATATCCTCCTTGGTCCTGCAACTACACTTACTACCACATCTGATAAACCTGTTAATCTCTTAGCCAATGCCCAGCTAGGATTCAAAAGATCCTAGTCCGTCAGCACCGATGCCCCGGTTAAGAAGGTCGCTAGATACGATTGCTTGGACAGAGTACGACTGCTTGGTGACCAAGACCCCAGTTGTCGGTAAGTCCTACTCCACATTACTTTCCGTATTCCTAATGGTTGGAGCTAGCCCTTGGCCAACGTTGAGCGGTACTTGGCGGTCATCGGCGCCGAAGGTAAGGTCTAGGCACGGCCTTGGAAGTCTGGACGGAATTGCTTTACCCCGCTCCGCTATGGTGGTGGGTAGCTGCCATTGAGGCTCTTCAGTCCCTTACCCTGCCTCAGGCTCGGTTAGTCTTGTTATTCACTTTGCTGTGTCGTAATATATTATGATACAATCAATGTTTGCTTCGTTTGTCAAATGTGATTGGAAACAATACACCATACGGTCATCTACATTGTTAACCTCGAGATCTGTATGCTATGCGTGGTACGCTGGTACCCGCTTGATCAATTTGGTAATCTGATACGTAACTCGTTACCTCGTCAGACGAAACGAGTGTGGCCCTCCAATCCGGCTTCCTTTCGCTCAAGAAGCACTCTTGCAATGTGCTCGACCTAGACTCGCAGCCGCGAAGTCTATTGTATGTTCAAAAAGCCTAGCTTGTCGAACGCCCTTTCAAAAATGAGATCTTGAACAACAAAGCAACAAAAAGCAACGCTAAAATGCATTGGACAGGTCGCGATCGTAGCGGACTGGAAAGTCACAGCTACGTCAGTGAGGCTCTGTCCTCACCCTACGCATACCGTTGGAAAACGCTTAACTCATCGGTGCCAGCCGGTTGACAATGGGGTATAATGCTTTTGGTAGACTCGCAAACGCCATGTTATAACCCTGAGGAGACTAAGGAAAAATATCGGCCGTTATTGTGGTGTGGGTTGAAGGCGAGAGGGTGGACGGAATGGCATCCGTGTTCGAAGCTGGTACAGATCGACAACACTGAGCTTTGGACGCTCTCCGCTAGTTTATGTACCAGCGGGGAGCCTTGAGATCTCAGTTCTATGACTTTACATTTGCGTTTCGACACTTTAACGCCAGCCATTTTGACTAAACTGCTGAGTGCCAAGGGACGACCTTGCATCGTTCATGTTCAGCGCAGGGTCCATGAAAGACTGCGACCAATCCTCTTGGTGCATCAACTCGTCGAAAGGCATGTTGTTTGATGCTTGCATTGGCATACCGTGCTGGGGTGGATAGCCGCGGTATTGCTGGGCACCTTGCATCATATACATGGGCATTGAGGTAAAAATCTGGGCTTCGCTTTCCATGTGTCGAGCTGGTGCATGAGGCATGCTAGTAGGGGCGAACATGGCGGGATGTCCTTTCAGATCCATGCTAGTTGGAAGCGGGGTGGGGTGGCCGCTCACAGGAGTGCCTGTGCTGCGGTCAAATGCTTGAGGGTGCTTGTTCTCGAAGGCAGTCATTGGTTGGTTCGGATAGGCGAGCGGATCGGCAGAGGGAAACATCATAGTCGAGATGTCTGCGATCGGAACATTGAGACCCGAAGGGTCAGCTAGGGGATTGCCCAAGCTTGCCGGACCGAAGGCAGAAGAAGTTGGTTGCGAATCGTGAATAGGAGCCAAACCAAAACTTGGCAGACTATCGTTGGAGGATGTAGGCGTGAGGCCTGGCACACCATCGAAAAGGTTTGGGTTAGAAACTGAGTGTGCTGGGTACGAAGAGCCCAGGCCAAGGCTGCCAAAATCCGGGTTGTGGGATTCAAATGACTGTGTCTGACCGGCAGTTTTGACGTTAGGGATACTGTCTGGATAGGTGCTCGCACGTCGTGGGCCTGCAGCATCGTTTTGCGCGAAAAAGGTAGGACGGGTTCCCATGGAATGTGGCGAACTTCCTTGTCGACGTTTCCTTGAAGCAATAATCTCTCCACCATGCCTAATTGATTCGGGAAGACGCTCAAACATGCCCTGTAGGATATGGTTAGCTCTGTTACATATATGTGGTTGATAATGCATCTACCTTTAACGCAGTGCTGCACCTATCTGCTGCCAGGCTTCTCTTAGCAAAGTACGCCAAGACTTCTTTGCCTTCAACAGCGTCCCGCAAAAGCTCGAAGCTAGTGGAGCTTGTCGGGTTTTCCAAGACAAAGTACAGGATCGATACGATTGCGAAAAATGTCGTGTACATCGAGAACCAATATGCCCCAGCCAGGTGACCCCGTTTACGCATCTCTGTCGAAATATGGATGATGTTACGTGAAACATTAACGCATGCAGAAGCGCAAGCGAACGCCCTTTGATCAACTGTGTTGACGTTATATGATTGCGAAACATAGTGTAGGAATGGCCGATAGAGCAGGAGTTGAGCATGTCCGAATGCCATGCGAAGAAGCTGTTGAACTCTGGTACAAATGTCAATGGCCATAACAGTCGACGTCGGCGACCAACTTACCTTTTAATGATTGATGGGGCATCGCCGCCGGGCTTGAGCGCAACAGGCAACTCATCGAGCCATCTTGCGAGATCCTGTTCGATTTCGCGAATTTTGGAATAACCCACAGAGTAGGTTACGGAGTTCTTTGCGCCTGATTGTGTTCCCTTAATTGGGTACACATACTTGCAGATCTTATTCAGAATTTGCACGAGACGCGTGTGGGCGTTGAAAGCTGCCATGACTGAAATGCTTCCTTCAGGCATAGGCAGAATTTCTGTCTCCGTAATATACTCGTCATCCACCTCGATTGGCCACTCCTGGTCAATGTCCTCGTCATCCAGAAACCGTGGCAAACCGAGCATTGCTCCCACATACGTGTCCATCCTTCGAATTACCCAGAAAATTCGTTTGCGCGTTTCCGCCTCGATAGGGTTGAACTTGACATTGAAAGACCGGTGTAAACCCATGCGCAAAGCTGAGCGTAGAGCAACGCCGATATATGCATAGCACGTGCTGAGCTTCGCAGAGGATTGCAGAAACTGGATCATGAAAATGATGGCTTGAAGCGAAGTAAGATCTCTGCAGTCAGTAATGTCCAAAAGTTGGCGCGAAGCTTTGAAGTATTTGAGTCTGTGGCACGTTAGCATTTGCAAAAAGGTGCGTCTGGAGAATGTGGTGCATACCCCTCGTCGGTAAGCACGTCATAGCTTGCTACATCAGTTGCTATATCATTCTCTGAGTATAGTTTGCCCAAGGCCAAGACAGAATAGAACAAGGGCAGGAAGCTGGTCTCGGCAGTGCCGTAGTTCTCAGAAGAGACTTGATAGAGGCGGTCCATCTGCTTGTAAAAGGTAGGAAGATGAACAACGCGCAGCATAGCGCTATACTGGATTATGGCACTGTCACAGAGGATGCGCGCATTTGCCTTACTGGGTAAAGGCACGTTGACAGCTCCTGCAGTAGATCCAGTGATGGACAGGGAACTAGGAGAAGGCGGTTCATGGGACATGGTTCGGTGGCGGAGAGACGGCGACTCGTCCGAAGGGATTTGGAACATATCATCAAATTGTCTTAGACCCCTCATGAAGCTGAGTCCTGAGGAATGACCCTGATAATCCCAATTGCCCTCCTCATCCAGATCAAGCTGGCCAGTGGCTTTGACCATGGCCTCAAGATGGGAATCTGGCTGTTCGTCACCGTGGACTGGTCCTTGATGGTGCGGGATCCGAGGGTCTCCAGGCATCACTGGAGGCCGCGGAGCCGGCTGTGGCAGCTGTGGTAGCAAGCCATTCTGAAGGTGGGCGTCAATGGCGGGGTCATTCAAATCGACCGTGGGCAGGACGACGTGAAGCAGCGCTTTTGCACGTTTTAGCTGGCTCTCCAGAGCCTCGATATACTGGGGAGTCGCATTGCGGCGACGATTCGAGGGCTGATCATATGTGCTGGTAGAGTGTCAATTACAGGTGTTGCAGGCTACTTGCAGGCAGACTGGGGATTTACCATTCTGCGGAGCGTTAGCATGTGTCCAAGGTGGGCAATTTCAAGACAGCGGGGCACGTACCATAGCTGTAGACGGTGCAGTGGGTGCAAGGCTGCTTGCCATCGCATTTGATCTTCTTGCGTCGACATTCGTCGCAAGCACGCGTCACACGACGCCGCTTCTGGGGTTGCGGTTTCGGTGCCTGATCATCGCCTACGTCATTGGTTTCCGAGTTTTCCTCGCCAAACTCAGAGACGTCTTCTTGGTGATTGTCGAAGGGGCCCGAGCGGCCCGCGTCTGCTGGAAGGCTCTCAGTTGTTGTGAGGGCCGGAGAAGTCATGGGTGTCGGGAAGGAGAATGTGGCCAGCTGTGGCTGGGGGGGGGAACGCTGCGCCTAAGAGCAAAAGTGGTGGATGCTCGTGACAGGGGTGTGAAGACGGCGGAGAAGCTTGTGGGTCAAGGATTAGAGTTAGGCTAGCGCCGTCGCATGGCACCGTCCCGCCCTTTTGCACGCCGGAATCGAATCGTTGGACTCCGCCGAGTCGTCCGCTTTTCACTTCTCACCTGCGAGCCAAGCCCAGTATTGGTGCATTCATCTCGGCGAGCACACCTGTCTGCCTTTATTGACTGCCCCAAGGCTTCATAACACGTCCTCGACAGGTTTTGCTCAGACAGCATGCACACCGCTTCCTGCCTAGCCCCACCTCCCGACGTTTCCATTCACAAAGACCAGAATCGCCAAGTCGTCAAGCACAGCAATGCTGACCTCTACCCTGTGGCGTCATACCGCTGCTGGCTGCTACCTTGAAGCGCCTATGGGTTGAGACACCTGGTGGGGGGTCCTGCTGAGACGCCACCCACGCCACCCAAGGTGTTGTAGAGCCCTGCATCCAAGCGAAGCCGAGCCTTCTCCATGGCTTTTTGCACACCAAACCTGCATTAGTCGTCTGATCCGCCAATCCGTTGCAACTTGTTCGTTCCCCGATATTCCTCGTGCGCTCTAAAGCCTCTCTATCGAGAAACGATCAGCCGCGACCAAACTCGGTTCCGTCATACAGCCAAGCGAGGACAATTACTCACCCCAGCCGTGGGCTGTCTCGGGCTCTCGTCCAGGGCGAGCTACCGAAAGCCTGTCTCCCCGCTCGCACCAGCCTTGCGCGACAGATCTTAGCGCCGGATAAAGTCGCCATGAACGTGACAGCGTGGCTTGACTGCGGCTGGTGACCCTTGCCATTACCTGCTGTACACCGGCGAGCAAACGTAAGAAACCCAAATCCTGCCCTGCCTTTGACCGTATTCCAAACGAGAAGGTGCCTTCAACGTGATGAATTTATAGAGCAGCCCAGCTGCCACCATGGTAATGCCGGTACCAACCACAGTCCTGGAATTCTCCCAATTTTTCCAATGTCGGTTGGTCACCACCATCGATTTGCTCGAGCGCTCGGTGGGGCCGGCTACCGCTTCAGTTTCCCCATGAATACATTCTGCTAAGAGAACGAGCGTATTGGACCCGCCAAGTATAATCCTTTGAGATACGGAATGTCCTGAAAGAGCAGACTCTGCTCAAGCAGTAGCGGTTCCTGCAGTTGCTCCCGGTAGCATGTCGGTTGATTCGTATATACCCGTTTGCGATGCTTGTCCATCGGGTCACTCACCACATATCCGTATATACAGTATGCAAATTCCTTTGCTGTCGGAGATACCGACAATGCAGCCATGTCATACCGAGGTCCCTTGGCATTACTATGCTTCCAATTATGGACGCTTATACGTTGGTAATTGGAACACCCTACGCTTTTTAGTGGTGCTTATCTTGAGCCACATGTGCCGACTTCCGGGTGACTCAGCAACTCGCTTAGAGCACCCCATTTTCGCTCATCATCATGCAGGCCACATCAAGTCCAATACGAATGCCGTTCGTCTGGTCAGGCTTTAGCCACAGCACTAGCCACAAGGCCAAGAGCAAACACGTACGATGTCTCCTGCGTCTGCTCACATGGGCCAACAGAAATGAGCCAAGCAGTCTCAGGAGTGGCGCAAATTTGGTGGGGCGTTTGGCCAAGGTATGGCGCAGTCTTGTGAAACGTGGCTGAAAATCCTCAAGGGGAGATTGTGTGCATGATGCCAAGCAGAAAATGCCTGGGGTCTGCTTCGTGATCGCATCAAGGTGTGGCGCATGACGCAAACTGTTGTTGCGACGCAGACCACGTGGTTAGCTCCCGCAAGAGCATAAGTTGGCAATACGTGTGTGCGGGCTCATACGTAAAAGAAACAGCAAACTGGCCGATCGCCGGTCGTTCATACTTGACGGTTGGAATGCTAGATTTCGAAACAACTGTCGTGTTGCGAATCCTCAGAATATGCGATTGCATAGGGATGCTGAGATGTGACGTTCACTGCAGATCTGGACATTTCGTTCGATCGACAACACAAGCTTCGTGTTCGTAATAAGACCGTTGTCGAGCCGCCGTATATTAATGATCAGCGCATTCTATGATCTGATGGTAATCCTGAACGAAAATTCTGTACACTTGCTACGTCTGCCACTACCTAGGTACCAATGAGCCTCAGGCTCAAGAACACTGTAGCTGATGCAAGCTTCAGCCCTATATTAGTCTTGTTTCTTCTCGCAAATCTGACTTCGGCCAAACTGAACCAGTCTAAGATCCGTCAGTGGAACGTCTTCTCTACGCATTGACGTAGTCGACAATCTCGATCCGGTGGCCAGGACAGTTCCAGTCCTCCGGCTTGGTGCGGTAGCCACACCCACTAAAGCGTTAGTCGAAATGGAGAGTTCTGGACTCGATACCACCGAGCGGGACCCCAAACATAGGCTCAGTGTGACCATACATAAGGGCGATCATGGAAAAACTCAGGACTGAAGATTGTGCTTTGAACGTAAGTTAGAAGATATCTCGATGAGCCCGGAAGTGGAAGGCTAGGCTTCAGTCATGGTTTTATCATACTCTTTGTGATGAACTAATGGCTATCCTGGCCGTGCACGGAAAGTGAGGTTGTTGGGAAGCAAACGAGAGAGCGGTGCAGTCTGTTGGTTACCGCAAATGCAATACTCTTCTCCAGCATGGAAAATAGAGCCAAATGGTTGTGAAGTACTAGCTCGGGTTTGCGCGGCTATCACCAACCGTCTGTACAAGTCTACGAAGACTGGTCTTAGGAATATCGATTCAATACCCCTAACCGGCTGTAATGTGGCCGACATGTAAAACTGCTTCTTTGCTGTAGGCTACACGCGGTTTCTTCCTTGTTTATATAGGAATAGTACACGTCTATCCCCAGTCATGGGGAAACAGCTGAAGAACCACATGAGAGGGGACTGAGCGTGACCATTACTACGAGTCTGGAAGTGACATCTCAATGCTCTGGAAGGTTTTGTTGCGAAGTAGAGCGTGACAGGTGCTGTTATTCTTGCTTAAGGTTGCAGCAAATAGATGCCGCAGAAGAGGCTGCAAGAGCTGGATGAAGTTGTGCGTGCCGAAAACGGGTATGATGTGACGGAAACTCAAAGCGGTACTACCAAGCAGGCGCAGCAATCATGCGATAGGATGCGATCATGCCAATTCAATGAGACTTTTGGAATCTTTCACAGATACCAGAGCACACAAGATCGCGAATTTGTTCCTCTATGAATCCTGAAACCCTCATTCCTTGGAGACAGTAATGATTATGATAATACATCATAGTGAAAACGAGACAGTCCCTAGGGAATAGGTAACATTGAGAAGTATACCTAGATAGTAGCGTTCAAGGAGCTTATCTCTATTGTCCGGATTGAACCAAATGTACATGCGCGACAAGAAAATCTGGCCAAAATACAAAAACTGCTGATCATTCAGGCAAGTCCGATGGAGTCCGCAAAAAGTTCTTGTGTGAAACAGTAACGGATCCAGTAGTGAGATGAAGCCGTGTAACAGAAGTGCTAAGCCGCCTGTGTTGGAGCTGCAACGATTGGAAGGATCGGTGACTGTCAAAAGAAACTCGACCCGGGTACACGATGATGACGGTGTTTCAAAATCGATTGCCCAGAAGAATGCAGCTCCTTTCCCTTGTTGCAGCAATAGCCATCCTACTGTTCTCACTGCAGATGCAGCCTCGTATTGTGCTCTCATGTCGGGCGCGAGAGTAGTGAGCAGAGACTGCACAAGTGCAGCGACTGGTTGCCATGGCCATAGTAGCTAGGCTACCTAAATCGTTCGACAGCAAGCCGCTTAGACATGCACGACGGCTCAAGACGTGCATCATGTTTTCATGGGGCGCTGGCCGCCGCTGCTGTGCAGAGCGTGGTGATGTGCAGGTGCGAGTGGTGTTCGAGATGGCAGTCACGCTAATGGGTCCGTGCACCACAAAGTCGAATATTGAATTCGCTTAGTCCTGAGCCACCTGGAATTCGCATCTCTCGAGCTCTCCATCACGACAACTAACCTCACAGCACACCGGAGTCGAGCAAAATGTCGACCTTCGAACCCGTCATTGTACGTACGCCCCGATAGACGCAACCCGATATGCCCAGTACTGGCCTTCGCATTCCGCGGCGATGCCAGCCTCCAATTCCGTCAACAATACGCATTCTTCCATGGAACGTCTCGCTGACAGCGCACGCAGGTCATCGACGGCAAGGGCCACTTGCTCGGTCGCCTCGCCAGCACCGTCGCCAAGCAGCTCCTTAACGGCCAGAAGATCGTTGTTGTGCGATGCGAGGCCCTCAACATCTCCGGCGAGTTCTTCCGCGCCAAGTGTACGTACACCCACCGAACGAGCGAGCGAGACAAGGAGCAAGCCCTGGAGTGCAATTGAGAGTATGGGGCTACAAGGAGACGATGTGGTCGACAATATGCACAGTGCTTGCTCTTTGGCTGAGCGCTCTCGGGATATGTTTTTGGAAAGATGGCAACTGACAGGGTTATACAGTGAAGTACTCTGCTTTCCTGCGCAAGCAGACCCGTTACAACCCCACTCGCGGTGGTACGTCTTCCTGTCCATGCATTGCGCATTCGCAGTCAAAACTCGAATGCGTGACCTGCCACGGCACGTGTGCTGATTCATGCTCCAGGTCCCTTCCACTTCCGCGCTCCCTCCAAGATGTTCTGGCGAACCGTCCGTGGTATGATTCCTCACAAGACTCCCCGCGGTAAGGCCGCTATGGAGCGCTTGAAGACCTTCGAGGGTGTTCCCGCTCCCTACGACAAGAAGAAGCGCGTCGTTGTTCCCCAGGCCCTGAGGGTACTGAGGCTCAAGCCCGGACGCAAGTACTGCACTGTCGGTCGTCTCGGTCACGAGTTCGGCTGGAAGTACCAGGACGTCGTTGCCCGGTATGTCACATGT